CTAAGCTTCAAGCGTTCGGGCGTAAAAAGTCGCCAATAATTGGCTACTAATGGCGTCACATAAAAACTTTCGCCGACTGCAATAAAAAATCTCATTGAGCAATGCTGCAAAACTTTTCTGCATACAAAAAAAACCAAACAAACAAAATTGGTGTAAAGTGCACGACTACTTGATACCCTGTAATCGGCGCGCAGGCTGCTTGCGAATGGCTATAAAACTTACATGTTTGTTTGCATATAATTAAAGTAAAGTTTATAATATTTTATAAATTCAAATTATTTGAAAAATATATTTTAAGAAATTATTACAATAAAAAATATTTGTTAAAATTTGTTAAAAAAGTAAATATATATACAAATATAGCATTTTATTTTATTAATAATATGTTTATACATTTTATTTTAAAATTATTTTTATAAATAAGAATATTTAAACATATATTTTTTAAACTTTTAAAAATTTATTAATAGATATCTGTTTTTATTTACTTTGTCATTATATAAGTTTATCATTTCTATATTTTTAAACTTTTTGAAAATGAAGCGTATTAAAGTATTCTTTATTAACTCCAGACTCTTCCACTTCATGACTCCTTTGCCGGCGCTTACTAGCAGTCTAGAAAGGCTATTGTGAAAAGCACTTTCATTAGCTTTACTTAAGTTTGTCATTTAAATAAAATAATCAAGCGCAACGCGTTTCAGCATTTGCTAAACGAAAGCAAATATCATTGTTGCTGACTACACTTAACTTAATTAAATGAACTTAACTTCACTTAATTTATTAAATTGGTAGTTGAATAGTTGGAAATTTACAATAAGCAAAAAAATAAACAAAGTCTTGGAACCTATAGAATTTGAAATATAAAAAAAATGTTTTTTTTTTCCTTTTAAAATAAAAGTAAAAAAGAATTGGAATAGTTTTATTGCTGTAGAAAAACGACTTCAACGAGTTGTTTGGGAATTCTGCTAAAATTTATATTTAAACTTTATTCAAAATTTTGTTGCATTCGCTCTCCCTAAGTGTATATGCTACCTTATGGCATTTGCCGTGGGTATAAGGCGTAAACAAAGCAATACAAAAGTGAGCCAAACAATTAACATTTTCATTTTGTGATTTTCTGCTTAAACTTTGCACTGTTATTTATTTCACTTGTCAGTGTTGTTGTTGTTGTTGTTATCATTGTTTTTAGTGTCGTTAGTGCTGTTGCGGTTGTTGTTGTCGCCATGCAATTGCCAGCGAAATTCATTAGTGCCAATGGCCAACTGAAAGGCAGGTGGGATGACTGCAGCGGGCGTCTGTTGTCATCTCAATGGTGGTGTATGTGTTAATAGGCGTGGCTGGAGGCGAAACGGGGGCGTTGGCTAATGGGTGGAGCAGCCACCCACTTGGCACGCGTATTATTGCAAACAATTTGCCCTGTTTGTGTAGTGGACAAATGACAGGCAGGCAGGCAGTAAGGCAGACAGACGGTTGGGCAGACAGCGAAAGGACAAAGGACAATGCCAGAATTGCGACTAAAGCCAGCGTTAGCAATCGGAAATGTTGCCAAAGTTCTATGGCAGTCACACACAGAGATGCCCGCACACACAGACGCCTTGCAGGCATACACAAAACCCATACGCACACACCAACACACACCACCACACACTAAAACACACACTAACGCATGGCAACACACAGTCGTGGAGTCGAGCGCACAATGTGTGTAGTTGCATGCACTCAGTCGTGACTTTGTGGGATTGTTTGAGATCCAGCCCAGCAGCCCGTTTTGCAACTTGATTTTGGCTTTTTAGCCCAGCCGTGTTTGTTTTAATTTAAATAAATGAGCTTAAGCCTGATCCTTTAAGGCCTGTTGCCTGTTGCCTCAGCTGCTGGCATCGCTGTTGTCGCTGTGACAGCAGCTCAGTTAAGTTGAGTCCCGCCCACGCTCGTTCCCATCGTGCTGTCCGAGCAAGTGCTCAGCACTTTTAAGTCAAATTGCTTTGCCGCTTAGAAGCGTCGGTCATTTACCATTTACCGTTTGCCATTTGCCATTTGCCGTTTGCCGTTTGCCGTTTACCGTTAGCTGGCAGCGCCGCTGACCCGCCATTTTGTGTTAGCTGCTGCCAGGGAATCGTTCATGGCTCAGGGCATAGGCATTTGAGACATTCGCCACTGGCTGGCTGCACGACCTGGCTCAGCTGTCAGCGAACAAGTTCTGCTGACGCTTGTCGCTCAAGTGTTTGCCTGCGCCATGCTGCACGGCCTTGTTATTGTTGTTTTTGTTACTTGGTTCGGTGTTCTTTTTGCCAGCTGTGCGACTTCAAAGGATTTGGCGCTGTGTTAGTTCGCCTTTGCTCTTTTTATTGCCGCCGGCTCAGCTGCCACTTTGCCACAGCGCTTTCTCACTCTAATGCTGTCTCATCTCTCTCTCTCTCTCTATCGCTCTCGCTGCCTGACTTTCTCTTGGCTTACCTTGCAGCTGCAACTGCGCTGATTTGCAGTTTCTACTTTCTACTTTTCATTTGTTTGCCGCACTCTTTTTTTCGCCATATTTTCTGTTTACACGGCAAATTTATTTATGTTCGCGCTGTGGCACATTTTTTGGGGCCCATTCTTAAATATTCCCTTTCTTGAGTGCGGATGCAAATTTGTTTTTCCTGACAGCTGCGAAAGCGCCGAAATAGCTATGGAAACAAACACAATTGTTAGACTTGATGAGTTGAAATTTCATTTCAAGTTTTAATTCCACTGGCAGTTTCACAAAAACTTCGCTCGCTCATAAATTGCATTGCCTCGGACGATGCGCCACAGTTAAAAATTAAATGTTCCCCCACACATACGTGTATGCACGCATACATACGTACACCTACATATAGAACTTTGTGGATGAGCTGCAGGCAACATTTAGTTTTGCTTTATATTCATAAAAAAAAAACAAAAAAGTTTTGTGCTTATGCTCTTAAGGACTCTATAGACAGCTGCGCGAAGCCTTCTTGGAATTAGCTATAAATATTTAAGCATATGCATATATGTAGATAATTTATATATTATGTTATATTTTTCATTTGTCAGTTGCTCTAATTAGCTAAATGCCTAAGGATAATATGAAGAAATTATTTTTATTATATTATTTTATTATTTTTATATATTGCAAATAGTTCAGATTATAATATATATATATATATAATATAATATAATATATTTCTTATACGATGCAACTATGCACTGTATATAGATGTATGATTGAAATTAGAGTGACAGTTATTCGCCAATTACCACGCCCACTGTGGGCATAAATATATATATTTCAAGTCTGTAGCGATTTACCAGAAGTAGTATTTACCGATGTGCCACGCCCCTAGTGGAGATATGAAGAATATCTTAAGAGCTTAGCAAACGAGAATACCTACGAGTATATATTATAAATTTCAAGTTTCTCGACTTTCAAACACAACAAGACATACTCATACCATGAAAAGTCTTATAATTTGTCTTATCTTTCTCATCACACCAATTAGCGATAAAAATTGATAATTGATAATTGATAAGTTAATTTTGCTTATTAGTGCTATGAACCTTAGACGTGATTCTGCTTTGGATATTTTTACCAGTTCGCCCAATATTATTTCTAATATTTTTCTTCTAATATATAATTTCAAATATTGAAGTTTTTATCTTGAATGGCAAATTTATGAGCAGAAAATTTCATTAGGATCGAGTGATATAAGGCTCCTTGTCATGAGCTGCCATCACTGCCTCTGCAGTCAGTTAATTTTAAAATAGTATCGATAAATATCGATTTGAAGACAAGAGTTCCTATTTCATCTTAACTAACTTATTTCGATGCTGAACCTGGTCACTTCTTTCAGCAGTGCACATCGCAGCTATTTCTGTCGCAAAGCTCTTCAGTGCTTTGTTCAGCAATTCAATTATGTGAGTAGGCGAACAATATTATTTAATCAATGGTGGTGTGCACGAGCAGAGCTCCGGTCCTGGTCGTGGCAGCTGCACTGTCGCCACTCTGTGCAGCCAAAGGGTAATTCAATAAGCAAATCGCATTTCCTTGGCATCGCAGCCACCGACGGCATTTCGCGCATTTTAGCCCCGTGGCATCGCATTGACACCTCGTCAAAAGTTTGCCGCCTGGCACGCCCTTGGCCCGCCAGCGCCTCGCAGCTGACTTGAATGCACTTCGGCCTGGCTTGCTAACTGGTTTAGTGCAAATTCAGTATTAGCCCAGCGCTCAATTTCACCCAGAAATTAAATTACAGATGCATCAAAGTGCAGCAACACGCGCGAGCTGGCTGGCTGGCTGGCTGGCTGGCTGGCTGGTTTGCTGGCTGCAGTGGCTGGGTGGGAGCTGGGCAAATGAGAGAACACCTCGTTAGTTTTTGCGTCTTGAAACTTTTTTAATATTTACATTCATATTTTGCACCTTTGGCCTTAGCCGGCGCTCACAGCTCGCACTCTTATTTTGTTCCTGTTATATTTTATTTTTCTGCTCGCTGCCAGAGCTTTTATTGCCCGGTGGATGGCTGGGTGGATGGTTGGTAAATAGGGCCTGACATGGGCGTGGCACGGTGGCCATGCCATAAATTTGTGTTTGTGTTGAAAATTGCATTTGCGTTCACTTTGAGCGGCTGCTAAAGAAGATAGCGACGATAGCGGGCCACGAGCAGGACTCGGGGCCATATTGGCCGCGCCTAAAAGCAGGCAACGAAACATTGTTAAACTGTGCGCCGCACATAATCAAGTTAACAGAGCCGCAGCCCCTAACACGCCCCAGCGAGCTCCACAAACAACCAGCCCAGCAACCCAGCAACCCAGCACTTGATTGCTATTGTAGCAGCATTGTTGTTGCCGCCGCTGCTGCTGCTGCTGCTGCTGCTGCTGCAGCACTTAAACTAAACTCAATTGCAGTTGTTGTTTTGTGAAATAAATTTTGGTTGAAATTTTTGATGTTTTGTTTTGGGTGTTTTATGCTGATGTTGTTTTATTTTTTTCCTATTTGCTTGCAGATGTCAACAGCACTTGGGAATGATGCAGATGCAGTGAAATCAAAGCCCCTTGCGCAATTTGCACAAACAACGCATGCGGCAAATAGCAATAGAAATAGAAATTCAAATGCAAATAGAAATTGTGGCGTTCGCTACAAAAAATACCCATAAAATAACAAAAGCAGCAACAACAGGAGCAACAGCGAGTCGAGCAACAGCTGCTGCGAATAACAAACGTCAGCTGCAGAGCGCAAAAACAAGCCGCAACGGCAGCGGCAGCAACATCAACAACAACAGCAAGCGCAGCAACAACACTAACAAAATGAAAAGCCATTTAGGCCTGCTCTTTGTCATTTTGATAATGGCCGCCAAATGCGCCAATGGCAATCCACAGAGTCAGCATCATGGTAAGTAGAGAGCTGAGAGGTGGGGGCAAGCATTCAATTGCCCCATTGGCCCCAACATCAAATTCTAATTCAATTTAATGCCACGTGCTGTGCACAGAGTTAAACTCACAGCTGGATCCCGATCCGGAGTTTATTGGCTTCATCAACAATGTCACGTATCCGGCTGGTCGTGAGGCCGTTTTGGCCTGTTCCGTGCGCAATCTGGGCAAGAATAAAGTAGGTCAACAATTCAGCTTAGCCAGGTGCTCAGCTCCAACTTGCTTTTGATCTGCTTTTCTGCTATGCTTCTCAGGTCGGCTGGCTGCGCGCATCCGATCAAACGGTTCTTGCCCTGCAGGGACGTGTCGTAACGCATAATGCCAGGATCAGCGTAATGCATCAGGATATGCACACGTAAGTGCGGGGCATACAATGAGAACTAACTTATATATATATGTATATATAACGTATTTAATTCAGGTTATGTTAGCTGTTTGATAATCGCTGAGCTGCTGAGCACTTCGCTAAGTTTGTTTTTTTTCTTGTTCGGAGTTCGGTGAGACAGAGTTAGAAATGTAGTGAGCAAGTGAACTGGAAGTTGCAGGCCCTTAAGTGCTAGCCTGATCGTTTACCAATGTGGACGAAAAATATGCTATGTATAGCTCTAGGTCACAGTTTTAGTTTTAAGCTTTGATAAACCTAAGCGGGCAGTCTAGCTAAATAGTTGACTTAGAGCAGTTTGGGAATTCAATCGTAAAGGTGTGGATGGTCCAGCAGGTGACAGTTAATGGCAAGTGGGTTTGAGTGTGTCTCTAGTCTTAGTTAGCCTGGAAATTTCTTGATGAACTCAAGAGATTCCCGACTCTTCGTAGATTTTCCTGTTTAAGTGGAGTAGGCATGCCTTAATGATCATTCTAAGCACACTATTATGATATATTTTATATAATACTACAGTTAAAACGTCTGACAGTGCTCCAGATTGGCATTCCATAGGTCCAAGTGGGCTTCAGTATGGTATTGTAGCTTAGTAGCTTGACGCGCAGGGTTAATCGCCAGAGAAGTTTAAAGTTGTTTGCAGTGCAAAGAGTTTTGTACATAGTTTATATACAAATTGTGGTTATTAAATAATTAAATAATAATTAAATAAGTAAAACATTTTATTTTTAGTTCATATATATTTTCTTAGTATCAACGTCAAGCCTTGCTCTATTCCTACAAAGAAAGTCTTCTTCTGTCAGCTTTCAGCCAAATTTTGTTCGTTATGAGGCAGACCGAACTTTCTGAAGAACAAGCCTGATCTTGTAGATAGTCCAACTGTCTAATTATGCTGAGCTAATTTCGAAACTATTCATGACTTGTGCTGCGACAATTTTTAGTAGTTTTTACCACTTGTGATCGGTGGGAAATCTCAAGTAAAGTCAATCCTCTTTCAATGAGAATGAAATTGGACTTCACTTTGTATATTTACCTTAGCATTAATCGTATAAATCAATGCAAACAATTCAGTATGATCTATGCCAAGTTTGACAGCAAGGCAGATGGACATGAGTCTGCATATTTCCACCTAATTATAATCGAATATAATTGTACACATTTAGCTGGAAACTGAAGATCAGCAAGCTGCGGGAGAGCGATCGTGGCTGTTATATGTGCCAGATAAACACGAGTCCCATGAAGAAGCAAGTGGGCTGCATCGACGTGCAAGGTGCCTAGTAGAGTGTGGCTGAATTGAGTGGAATAGTGCTGATGTAATGTTGATTGCTTGCAGTGCCGCCGGACATCGTCAACGAGGACTCCTCGGCAGATCTGGCCGTGCAGGAGGGCGAGGATGCGACGCTAACGTGTAAGGCCACGGGCAATCCGCAGCCGCGTGTCATCTGGAGGCGTGAGGATGGCGAAATGATACTCATACGTAAGCCGGGCAGCCGCGAGCTCATGAAAGGTGAGTGTCACATGAACATGCCATCCGACAGCTTAAGCTCCATCACAAATCTTCGCTCATAGTGGAAACGTACAATGGCTCCTCGCTGCGGCTGCTGCGCCTGGAGCGCCGCCAGATGGGCGCATACCTCTGCATCGCCTCGAATGATGTGCCGCCGGCGGTTAGCAAACGCGTTTCGCTAAGCGTGCAATGTAAGCTTCCATCGCCGCGACGTCTGTGGGATCAGCCATTGAAATGTTGCATTTGTCATTCACAGTTGCGCCCATGGTGCGTGCGCCCAGCCAGCTGCTGGGCACACCGCTCGGCTCCGATGTGCAGCTGGAGTGCCAGGTGGAGGCATCGCCATCGCCTGTCTCATATTGGCTGAAGGGTGCACGCACTTCGAACGGCTTTGCCAGCATCTCTACGTCCAGCCTGGAGTCCGGCTCGCCCGGACCCGAAATGCTGTTGGATGGGTGAGTGGTTAAGCCCAATGTTTTTAGCCCTGCACAAGTCAAACAATCTAACGAATCGCTATCCAGGCCAAAATATGGCATCACGGAAAAGCGCGATGGCTATCGCGGCGTCATGCTGCTGGTGGTGCGTTCCTTTTCTGCCTCCGATGTGGGCACCTATCACTGCGTCAGCACAAACTCGCTGGGCCGTGCCGAGGGCACGCTGCGGCTATACGGTGCGTATGCGTTATCTGCCTGCAATTCCCCATGTGATTTGTCTAACCTTTGACCTTGCGAATGTTGCAGAAATCAAGCTACATCCGGGCGCCTCGGCCAGCAACGACGAAAGTCTCAATTTCATAGGCGGTAAGCTCAACAATTTTCATACGCTCCTCAATTCTCAAGCCAATTACTGACGCCGATTTCCGAATTCTCATTTCCGCTGGCAGGACTGGACGATGCGGCACGCAATGTGGCTGCTGCCTTCAGGCAGGCAGCCTGGCTAATGCTGCCGCTGCCGCTGCCGCTGCTGCTGCTGCTGTGCGCATGGAACGCGTGATATCAAAACTGAGCGAGAGCCGGCAATCAAGTATTCCTACAGGTGTTACCCAGCCCTTGAGCTGATTCCCCCGTCCCCGCTTACGCTCCCGCTCAAGCCCCAAGCTCGAACCCAACCCCAATCGTTCCACACCGGCGTCTGTGTTGTTTGTTTTCATTAAAGCTTTCAATTTTTCCTCTGGTTTTTTTAATGTTTTTGATATGCTACGTACTGCTAAACATATTGCCAAAGCGCCGTGGGCACCAGGTTACCCCACCCCGCATATATCATTTAAATACGTATCACGAAAATTGTTGTTCAAAGTCCTTTCCCCCTCACAAATATCGGAATGCAAACGAAAATGGCGAACGGAAAACGAAGCCAAAATAAAAGTAAATATGTCGCATAATGTTACATTGCATATGATTAAACACGAAAACTATAAAATAGTGCATAAATATAATTACCGAAAACTTATTGAATAAATTATCGCAAAACTTACACGAATGCGTTTTTCTCCTCTCAATTCGCGGGGCTGCGCAGGCAGCGCTTCTTACGCCATTGCCCGTTCAAGTCAACCCACTGGGTGGCCACTGCATACATAAGACATATACGAGATATGCGAGTTATATAAAGGTATATGGACACACATAGGTTTTCCCAAAGGCAGCCACCAGCACAGAGACACGTGAATTCAATGCGTTCATGTCAAAGCTTTTATTCCAAAGATTATCGCAGTGCACTTAGGTTCGCAGTGGACGAGGTGAGTATGACAGGTATGGACTATGTGGAGCTGGTATAAAATTGAAGTCGACTCGAGTTGGAATTTCATGAGCTACGCTAAGTTGTATTACCAGGCCTTGTTGGATAAACAAAATTATTTAGAGCTCCATCTGAGAGCGACTGCAGTCGATATATATCGGCAAAAGTTGGTGATTCTAGCTATGAGGCAAATACATATAAATATATATATATTTTTTAATTGATGTATAAAAGAATTAAAGAGCGAAAGCCTCAGTTATTCCCGATTCAAGAATCCAGGCTCAATCGTGCCTTAGTTGTGTCTCCAAAAAATCGGAATATTTTATAGAATAATGATATCAACAATTTGGTAAGTCAAACACCAAAGCAAAATGTCGTTTATTCAATCAGACTGACGTCTATCTGAACGACCAGACGGATGGACAAAAGGATGGTCGAGCATCAAGACGAACGGAGTCAGAGCAAGGCGAGCGAACGGCACGAAGAACACGGCACATGCCCCATGGACTCTTTTCACTTCATAAACGAGATGAAAACAAGGAATTAAAATTGGAATTGATTCTCCATGGCCATTTCATCATTTGAAGTTCCCTCGGCATATTTGCTTTTCCCCGAACTAAAAAACTTGGCGAACAGAAATTTGCCACAATGAAGAAGTAGAACCAGGAGCGAATGCCTTTCAAGCGTAGGTGGACAGTTCTCATTATAGACAGGAAATTGAAGCAGTCGAACATGGCTGGGAAAACTGTATCGAGCTGCAAAAGGACTTGGTTGACAAATAAAAATTTGTTATGGCAGGTTGTATGTGTCTTCACTGTTGGGCTGATTCGTTAGTTTGGGAACTGCCCTCGTGGAGACATTTCGTGCACATTTCAATTAATTAGCTTACCCCAGCGATTGCCCAGCAGAATAGGGCAGGCGGCGTGCAGTGTTCGCTGGTCGCATTCTGCCTCATTGTCCATGTTATGCCAGATCAGGGCCGAGCCCTTGCTTGGCTGCACGCCCAGGCCCAAAGCGGGAAAGGAGGTAATGCCGCCGAGCTGCACATCGGTCAGCTGGAAATGCAGAGCAGAGGAGGAGTCGACAAAGACAGGCGTAAGCAAGGTGCTGCCGCGCAATATGCGTTTTAAGCCGTCTACTTACGTAGAGCAAAATGGTAGCAATGCGATTATTCCTGATGTAAGCCTCGTAGGCTGCCTGCCAAAAAGGAGCATTTACATACATAAGTACAGAACATCCATAAGCGGCTGTTCCACTACGATGTGCTCAACGTGGGGCTTTGACAAGTCGGGCTCTGCTTAAAGACCTCCCAGTTCAAACTTACATTGAAAACTTAAAAGCTTTTTAGTTTAATAATTAAGCAAGACGAAGAGGTAACGTTTATGCCTTTTCAAAGGTTAGTCTAAAAGGAATATTTAGCTCGCAAATTTAGCTACAACACTTAAGATTCAAATGGTAAATATTATTTAGTTTTGATTTTTAGAACAGGTCAATCAGTTCAATCTGTACGTCATGCCGTCAGTCAATCAGTCAAGGAAACCCTTTTTAATCAGTCGATTAAATCAGTCAATCAGTCACGCAGTTATTCAGTCAGCGAGTCAGTCAATAAGAGAGCAGATCAATTACTCAATTACTCAGAGAATCATCAATCAATTATGAGTCAACTAATCAGTCAGTCTGACAATCAGTCAATCATTCACTCAGTCAGCCAATCAGTTGCTCAATAAATCAGTCAAATAATCTGTCAATCAGTCTGCCAATCAATAATAAGTACATCAGTCAAGCAAGGTATCAATCAGTCTGCTTATTAATCAGTCAATCAATCAATCAGTTCATCATGATATCAATCAGTCTTACTATCAATCAGTCAATCAATCTGTCAATCAATTAGTTAGGCAATCAGTCTGTCAATCAGCAAATCAGTTATTCAATCAGTCTCTCGGTCAATAAATTGGTCAACCCAATCAATCTGTCAATCAGTCAATTTATGATAGGGGCAATCAGTCAGTCAACTGGTTAGCCAATCAATCAATCAGTCAGTCAATCACTCAACGCTTAGCAGATCAGTCAATCAGGCTGAAAATAAGCCAGTCAGTCAATCAGTCAGTCAACCAAGCTATCAATCCAATCAGTCACTCTATCTATTTCCATCAATCAAACTGATCAGTCAGTCAGTCAGTCAGTTACTCAGGGTCTCAATTACTCTGCCAATCAGGCAGTCAACTAATGAAAGCTTAAAGCTAAAAAGCTTGTTCTCTTTCAATCAATCAATCAACTATCCAGTCAATCACTGAAATTCCCTCTATAATCTTAGAGACCTTCTCAAAACTCACATTGTCTTTGCTATGCCAGCAGTCCATGTGCATGGAGTACTGGCCGCCAATGCCATAGTTGATGAGGGCCAGTTTATCGCTGTTGCTCAGATCGAAGCCGGACATATCCTCGAGGCGCTGGCGCAGAGTCCTGCCCTGGGGTGTAGCGTTTAAGTCGACTGCCGCATCCATGGTGAACCTCTTCTCGTTCACAATGCCGCGACCAACGAGGGCACGTTTCAGATGGGGTCTGCTCAGCTGGATGATGTGCTCCAGCTCAGTGGCATGGATGGCATTGTGGCAGAGCACCACATGGGGATCGATGCTCAGCTGCTCGAGCTTGAGTGGAGCGAGTCGGAGGAAAGGCGCACTCTGCGTATTATAGCGACAGCGCAGCGAATCGCTCACCAGCGACTGGCTGTGTCCCCGACAGATCTGCCAGTGCCTGAGATGATGATTCACGGTCTTCAGCAGGACTGAAACGTGCTGCTTGTCCTGCCCCAGCTCTAACATCTGCTCAAGCACCGCCCGAACGCCCTGCCAATTCTCTGCAAGAAAGTCACTTAGTCGCCCATCAAGTCGAGTCTGCTTCATTATTTATTCAGTTCACTAACCCCTGGAAGCATGCGTCTCGACTATTTCGCGTAAAATGCTCTTACGATCGATCTGCAGCAGCTGGTTGACGCGTTCCGGCACACCGCCATAGAGATCTAGTGCCAGCCTTAGCCACTGCTTGGCCTGCTCATCCTCCCCCTTCATGAACAGGTGCTGCGCCAGGGCCACACAGTCCGGGGTTTTCAGCCTGGCGCTGCAAAGCAAGATTAGAGCTGTTCAGTTATGCGATCTACAGACTAGAGACCCACTTGTATTGCTTCGCTCCTGGCAGACCCTGTGCCAAGTCCCGCTCACTCAGGCCATGGAACTGCTGTGTGCGCAGCAAGCCCTGAGCAGCCTGCTCCAGATCCGCTTCAGTGATGACATCGAGACGATAGTCCGATATGCGTTGTAGATCTGTGGGGCATTGAGTCTCGAGTAACTGTCGATGTGGCCTTTAGTCAACTACTCAACCTGCGCCCGCCTCCTGTCTCAGATATTTCAATATCTTGCCCGCATCCATGTGCATGCGTCGCACCAGTGGCAAACTGATCAAAGGATTCGCGACATAAGTCGCAGGATCACTCAGCGACTGCTGCTGTCTTGCGATGGCATCGTCGAGGATCCTATAAGAACATGGATGTACATAGAGAGCTCACTTGGACTGCTTCACTCACACTCGAGTCGTCGTCACCTTGCGCTCCAGCGCCCACACATAGAGTCTCAAATCTTTGAGCAGATCGTCCTCGCCCTCCAGCACGCGTATCATATCATGAGCTGACGTGGCCACGTTCTTCTTTCCAGCTGCCAGTGGCAGCAGCTGCAGTAACAGCAGGCAGAACGGCAACATGTTCCAAGCCAATTGGAACTGATATAAATAATATAAATTAAGCGAAGTCCCTGCGCTGTGGAATACCCCTAACGAATCGATTCGCGACCTCAATTTGCCTAGCTGCTAGACTGCAAATCTATCTGAAGTTCATTTAAAACTAAGTTTGCTTTGGCTAAAGCGGCACAGACCTGCTGTCAACTGGATGTTACATCTATTTAACTGTCGGTTAGCTCAGAGCAAATCATTTGAGTGTTTGAATTGGTTTTGTTTATATATGAAGTGAGCCTTTTAAGCTAAAGGTTCAAAAATTAAAAAATTACTTTAAATAAAATACTAAATAAAATACTAAATAAAATACTAAAATACAATATATGCAAATACTTAAAAATATTTAACTTACAATTCTTACAAAATTTTTTTTTGTAAAAAAATTGGGTTTCTAAAATAAATGTTAAAAAACTAAAAAATATACTTAAAACTAAATATTAAATAAAATACTAAATATTATAATATATATATATATATTTTTTTTTTTTTTTAACAGTTCAAATATTTTAATTATAATTTTATGGCCTAGTAAAATTTTCAGAAATTTGAACTCATTTCAATTTTGTTAGGGGTCAAACATTTTTAAGCGTTGCTCTTTACGAAAACTTTATTAGTCACATAAATAATAAAACTTTTTTTTTAATTTATTTATATAAATTATTTCATTATTTATTTTGAATTAAAATTAAGCTAATAATTCTTAATTAAATTATTAACTTATTAATTTAAAAAATATAATTCAAAAGGATTCTGAGCAATTTGCTTTACAAAATTTGTAATTGGCAATATTTTTATTTATTCTAAAAATATATAAATATTAGCATTAAGTGGTTTTAAAGAATATAAGATTTAAATTTAACTTTTTTTATTTAAGTTCTAATTTATGATTTAGACTGCGTCTTGTGAATTTAAGTCAAATTTTATTTTTAATTTTAATATTTTTGTTACTTGTTTTTTATTATATTTTTTATTTTATTATTTTTAAAACTCCTAAAGTGTCTAAAAATGTTTAAAAATACTATTTAGAAGAGCTGAACTTTCGCCTAGAGTTAACTTTTTTAGCCAAGTCCGCATATTGGATTCTCAGATTCTTAAGATTTCTAAAATTCAAAATGATTTCAAAAATTTGTTCACAATTTTTGGTGACTTCGCTTTTGTTGTCAGTCGAGAGCGAATGCTTAGCTGGCGTCAGTTCTATCTATTCTTCAAGGCTTATAAAGTAATCAAGTGAAGATGGACTTGGGGCTGGGTGCGCCACGCAAGGAGGAAATGCCGCCACGCTTCGAGCCGTACGTGCAGCCGGTGAATGGGATCGTTCAGCCGCCAGTGATGCCGCCGCCGGGTAGGCGTGGCCGGCGCACCAATGTGCTGGAGAGCCTGAAGTCCGTGCTGAAGTTTTTGTGGAAGAGCCGCTGGTCGTATTACTTCAGGTATCCCGTGGACGCAGTGGCTCTCTGCATACCGGACTATCACAACGTGATCAGGCAGCCCATGGACCTGACCACCATACGCCGGCGACTGAACAACAACTACTATTGGCAGGCGGCCGAGGCGCTGGACGACTTCGAGCTGATCTTCGAGAACTGCATGCTGTACAATCTGGAGGGCACCGAGGTGCACAGCGCTGGCAAGGAGCTGCGAAGCGCCTTCTACACGCGCCTCTCCTTCATCGACCTGAACAACGAGACGGAGCTGGTGCCGCAGGCGGCGATGAGGAAGCGCAAGGCGGAGCCAGCGCAGCAGATCCAAACAATCCGAGAGCATGTGGAGCCAGCCATAGCCAAGTCAGCCAAGGTGGCCAAGGAAGCTGTGTGGCCGATGGCGCCGGTCGAGGCTGCGATTCGCTATGAGCCCCAACCCCAGGCTGAAGGCAAGCCCGAGTGGAAGGCCGAGGCGGAGTCTGAGCGCCAACCCGAACCGGAACCAGAAGCCGAGCCCGATCCACTGCTTGACTCGGAGCCCATTGAGTTTGAGGTGAACCCAAACATAACGCTCGAGTGGCAAAACTACCTCGTGGAGAAGAGCCACGCGGAGCGGCTGCTCCGGTGCCTGACCAAGCGCAAGCGCAGCAGCATCAACTGGCCCTTCCGGTGCTGTGATCTGTGGCGGGAATATGGCCAGAATCTGCACTACGACCACGATGCCGAGGAGAAACTGGACTGGGAAACACTGCGAATCAAACTGGAGGAAAATCAATTCGATAACTTCGAGGAGTTTGTGGAGACGTTGCGAACAATGTTCCAGAACGCCTTGACGTGTTTTCCGATTGATGAGACCGTGATCTCAGCGGTCAATGAGATAAACGAATTGCTGGAGTCGCGCTTGGATGATTTGCGTAGTTCGATGGCTGAGAAGAAGACGCGACTTCGGCATTCGGTAAACAAAAGTCTTCGGAGTTACAACTTGATTGTTTCGCAACAGGAGAGTTTTATTAACTCTGAAGAGAGTTTTTCATATGGAGTTGAAAGCCACAAGTAATTACACTGTTTTATTGAAAACACTAAATGAAACAAATGTAAAATAATTTCCCTTCATTCGAACTTAACCGCTTCAAATGTTTCCATTTAATTCTGACAGGTGTCGCTAATTGTTTCGTGTAACATTACCATATGAGCTTAACATCAATGTAGTTTGCAGTAAGTCTTAACAAAAGCGTAAATCATACCTGATAGCTTAGTTTATTTTCATTCATTCATTCATTTTCATTCTTGGAGGAACTTAGGATTAACTTCACTTCCAATAAATTCGATAGTTATGTGTTCCGATTAGCGTATTTATTATGCCGATTACATGTTAGCTGCGCAGGGATGACATTTTAATATCGATACGCGAAGATATCTGGCAACTGCGAGCGTTCAGAAGCTCCTCGAGAAATTTCGTAGAAAACGGTTAAAATGTCGCAATAAATTGATAATTAATTGTAAAAAGTGTTTACAAGTGATCTATTAAGTGTATTGAAATGAAAATTGCATTGGAAAATGCATAAAAATGTGAAATCAAAAGGCTGCAAACCTGATTTGTGAAGAGGCAGGCTTTTTTCATCGTCGTAAAATACATACAGACATTCTCACGCACACACACGCAGCTGTATATATGTATAAATAACGCGCGGGCGCGAGAGAGAGAAAGAGCGTGAGTAGAGTCGAATGTGCAATTGTATGCGTGAGTGTTGTTGCGCTGTTTTGTGTGCTCGTATCGGTGAGAGAGCAGCGCGCCAAGCAGGCGAATGCGAGAGCAAAGCAAAACCAACAAATAAGTGAACGAAAATAAAAACGAAAAATACCGAATATCGAACAAGTCGTGTGCGTTAAATGTTGAATGCTGAATGTTAAATATTGTTTGTGAGTTTCTGTGCATTTCTGCAAGGTGAATTATGTTTTGACATAAACCCAAAATAGTTGGATACAACGTAATATCATATTGGAAGAACAAGAGAAAGGTAAATACAAAATAAGGCTACATCCAGGCGTTGTCGGCGCATTTGTTTTGGTCGATGAGTCAGACGCTCGAGTTTTGTTTTTTTTTTTTAATTTTGTTTTTTTTTTTTACCTAATGTAGTCATCAAATCGTATCGTTTCTAACAAATGCATTTTGACACTTAAACTAACAACTCATTTACATACATATACAAACGTACTTAGCTAGATAATTGTCATGTGTAGTTGTAGTTAGTTTACATTGAACCGAAGGCGCGACGCGACGCCCAATAGCAAAAGTCTACAAATTATACTGTTACCTGTATCTAAATACAATATTTTTGTATCTACGTCGTTTAGTTATTTACAAATATACGCGCATTATTAAATACTATAGAAAGCATGTTGGAAAACACCACACAGCACATTTAAGTGTTAAGTGTATGTGTGAGTATATGCGAGAGCGAGAGAGAACGCTGCAGTTAGGAGCAACAAACAAAGCAATAAAGCAGCATCAATAAATAACAGTTTAATGTGTCTAGTGAGTACCTACAGTTAATTGTTTTTGTTATAAGCTCTCATTTGAAATCAAATGTTCGTGCTATCTCGCTCTCATTCTCCCGCTGTCTACCACATTTTGCATCTCGCACGCACCAATGCGGTCAAGTGTTTGTATTTATAACTAAAAATGCGCTGATCGCTTGCCTTGCTGTTAAAGCTTTTTAATAAATTATGTACACACTCACATATACATGTACAATATATATTTTTATGGGTGTGTGTAGAATAAAATGAATAACTGGCAAATCGATTGGCCCGAGTCGTGCTTACGACAATACGAAATTGTTGTTATTGCTCTCTCAGTTTTGTTTTGTTATTCTTATTGTTGTTGTTGAGTCGTGGCCGGCCGCGTTGATAGCTGCTGCCGCCGCTGTGGTCGCCGATGATCATTTTTTGATGAATAATTACGAAATATTTTTTACGTGTTTTTATTATATTTATTTGCATATGCCATGTATGCGTGTGTGTATGCCTGTTTGTGTGTGTGTCCCTCCCTCTCTCGCTCTCACGCGTGCTCTCATTTGACACCATATTAGCTTTGGCATTTTTTGTCGATCAAAAAAAAAAATAAAACGGCGAATTCCGAATCTGTGAGCATTTGAACTATGCGCGAAATGAGTAATTGCTCATATTGAGTATTTGCATTTGAATGTGGATATGTGTGTGTGCAGGTTTGAATGTATGCAACATTTTGTCTTTCAAAAGTTAACAGCCGCAGCCGGTGGGCCATAGGCTAATGCCTGAATTATTGGAACGTCGCAAGTATGTTGCCGCCTATATTTACGCTCTGCTAAGCAGACGCAAAGTTTGGGGCAGCGGCAACAGCAACTAGCGACAACTTTATGAACACCTCTCGCAAATACACATTTGCTTGGCCAAATATTAGTTTTCATTTCTATTAGATTTTGTGCCGAAATTTTGCATTACGTGCAGCAGCTGCTGCCACTTGAAAAGAACCCACCACCAACACCACCAATTACTAACGTCAACAAAAGCAAATCAAACTAGAGTTGGGCGAGTGTCGTGACACGGGCATACACGAGATGCCTAAATATTTGCGTGATTGCGCTTAATATTTGAAACCAATTTAATGTGCGCAAATTCCCATTTTGAATGAATAGAAAAATCACGAAACGAAAATCTCGTTTGAGGTGTGCCTCCATATCGTGCCAACAAAATATCTAACACCCATCTTTAATTCGAATAACAACAGTAGCAGAGCAACAGCTAAAATTGGCTGCTGCTGCAGCTGTTGATGTTGTTGCTTTCGTATTCGTGGCAATTGAGCACCAAACATCAGTTCGCGCTCAGCGTTTAATGCTCATTCATATACTCACACACACAAACACACATAGGCACACACATTCATACATATAGCAGTTCTGGGCTGCGCTCCCACATATTGGCGCGCACATTTTCTTTCACCTTTACTGCGTGTTTTGATTTGAACGTCTTTTTGGCCTCCTCAATCGCTTTTGCCGCACTCACACACACATACAAGTTTTTGCTCTCTCTCTCTCTCTCTTTCAGACTCTCCCACACCCCCGCAAATGTGCTCTCAGGCTCATTAATTGGCCCCCACCTTCGGTTCGTTTTGGCCTCGGCACTCTCCATCTCTCATCTGTCGCGCGCTCTCTCTATCTCTATCTCTTGGTATTAGCCGCTCTCTTTTAATCTCTGGACGGGACACATTTGTTGCTTGTTGTCTTTTGTTGCTTAATTCAACATCTTCAGCTGCTCCGCTTGGCCTGTTTGGCTTTCTCTTGTTCGGCTCCATTGCGCTCTTTATTTACACTGGTCTTTGGTCTCATTTTTCATGTTTTCTTGCTGCCTGCACATGCCTTCATACGTACACATAATTTGGGCACTTTTGCATAATTTCATGCAAATTAACATACTGTGTATGTGTGTGCATATTTTGTCGCGCTCTTTGTGCACATATTTGAGTTTATGTATGTATGTATGTATCTATTTAGTAGTTCGTTGTGATTGTCGTGCTCACGTTTTTAATCGTTCGTCAGTCGATTCGGTTTTCAATCGACATCTCGCTGGCATCGTTGTTGATGTTTTTGTTGTTGTTGCCTACCTGCCTGCTTGCCTGACTGTCTGGTCTGCTCCCTCCTCTGTAGCTGTCGCTGTCGCTGCTTGACTTTAATCTGCTCAATTACTCGCAATTTGCAAGTTGTGTGTGCGACTGTTTGAGTATGTCGCTGTCGCTGTCTCTGTCTCTGTCTATGCTGTTGCCTACCTGTCTGAGCGTGTGTGCGTGTGCTTGTGCTTGTGCTTGTGCGTGTCTCTGTGACAGTCTGTCTTCATGTTTCGTTTCGTTTTGCTTCTCATTCGCCTTATTCATGTTGTGTTGTACGTTTTGCGCTTGTTTTGATTTCTTAATCTTTTTACCATAATTGATGGCAATTAAATTAAAGGTGTGTGTGCGGCCTCGCGCCTTGACGTCGTTGCTGTTGCCATCGTTTTAGCTCGGCTCCTACTTCGTATCGATTCGGCTTCGGTCGTCTCGATTCGTGTGCATACATTGCCTCGCTCGTAAATCGGCGTCTGGAGATTGTCAAATACGTACACACATACACATACATATGTGTGTGTATGGGTGTTGCTTGTTGTCTCCACCTGAAGCCACGCAACTCGCGTGACTCTTATTTATTTGTAGTATTCAAATTATTCTCATCAGTTGTTTATTTTATACACTTTTAATGAAGGGCTTGCTCTTTGGATAGCGTTGATGATGAGACGATGAGCTCGACCGAGTTAGACCAGTATTTAGATTATGAAAAATAAACTTCAGCTTAAGCCTCTTCATTTTATTGAATTCCTATTAGCATTTATAGTAAATGTAAATGCTGTTGACAAGTGAACTATTAAGTTTAAAAATCAAACCCGAGTTGAGTCTGTCTTTCTCGAGAGATAATTCCTTGATTCGGTGTCTTCCTCCTGTAACCATAAGCACAACAGGATATATCTTAGTCGTTGCTCTCCCACTCTCTCTCGGCTATCAATATTTTGATTTGCTTTCGCTTGCTGTTTTGTGGACATTTTTGAATGTCATTCAATCGCAGTTTGTCGTCTATAGAAATTTTATTGATTAGTTCAATATTGCAGCGTTCCACTATGGTCCCCAGTGCAGTGTAGCATACATATACAAACATACATATGCTTATATGTATGTCTAATTACAGCGATTTACTTAATTGATGTCAACGCCGCGTTGTTATTAATTCTAGTAGGCAAAGTTTTATGTGTCACTTTGTATTCAATTTGCAATTTAAAGCGTAGTTTGTAGTTTGTTACGCTTGTGTTGTGTGCGAACGACTTGGAGAGTATTAAATTGTTGACAATTGTTTTGAGCTTGAGCAAATTAACCTTTAGTTTGTTATGTCATCTGTCATGTTATGTGAATATGTGCATCAATATTCACATAGATTAAAATACCTATTATTTAATTGCCATCGATTCTGTCTCACAATTAAAATCATTTGCATGCGCCCATCATGACATCATCAGACAACTCAATCGGAATGCACATTTAGATGCATTTCATCATGTTCAGTTCAGCAGAAACTTGGAAGAAGTCAATGCAATACGATGTGCTTATCTCGTATAAAGAACAATAACAAATCACAGCTGTAAATAAACTGCTAATATTCACTACATGGATTGAATATATTTAGCATGTAAAAACCTGATAAACTTCTATATATCACACTATAAATCGCTTAAAATATAATTCATATCAATCTCGGTTTGCAATTAGTGCAATCGCAATGTGCATGCACATTTACATATAATTACACATATATATCGAATGTATTTATATACATTTAAGCGATATTCGATCGTATTGAACTTAATGCTTACATGTCGCAGATAAAAAGAAAATGGACTACGAGCAATTCAAGCTTCAAATTAAATTGCAATCTCAGATACAGTTGCTTGTAGACTATCTACATACACATGTATGTATATATGCATGTATATGGGAAGCTAAATTATTGACTGTCCAGATATATATATAAAATATAAAACTGGAGTGCTGTGATTCAGACTGATCAACTAAGAAGCTATCCTGTAACATGTCTGTAACGCACTTCTTAAATATATTCTGTCTAATGAGAAGTCAATGAAAAACACTACATATGTATATACATATATAAATTTGTATAGTATATAAAAAGTCTCTTAATAAGAGTTGGATATCTGCCTTTACAATGTTCAAATAATATTTGTGTGTGGAATCTTTAGATAATATTATAATATGGAATGAAGTTATTTTTTTCTAAACTCCAAGTTAACAAATTGTAGATGGTTAACTAAAGGCACATACCCTGCTTAAGCAATTTGCTGCATACAGGGTACTCAAAGAAAAACAAACTATAAAGCAAAACTGCACTTGGGGTACAGTTGACATGATCGACTGGCTGCATAATTAACTAGCTAACAGCTAACCAGCTTTGGCCAGGCCGACAAGTCAGTGGTGCCAGAAACAGCAGTAACTGTTGTGGTAATTGGTGCCGCTACCGGGTCGTCTAGTGTCGTGCCGTGTCGTGTGTCTCTAGGCAAATACAAACACCTTTTTGCACAAAAACAATCAGCCCAGCACGAACTGACGAACCGACCAACAGACTAACCGACCAACTGACGAACTGACGAACTGACTCATGCATGCATGCATCCAATGCTCGGGCTCAACTCAATTGCAGCAGCAGCTAGTTAAAACAACAGAAACAACAAATAATATATATATAGAAAAAAGGAAAAAAGAGGAAAACTGCAATAACAAGTCATCGCTAGAGTGAGATGGGTATAGAGGTGGGGGTGGAGTGGAGTGGCGCACACGCAGTTGAGCGTTTTTCACCTCATTCTTATTCCATCAGCCATTAAGTAGTTCAGCAGCAAACCTGGTTAACCGTCACATGCAGCTCCTGCAAACAGCAGCAACAAAAACAACAACAGTAGCACATAAAATACATTCACCCGTGCACTCACACCCATTCATTCATTCACTCTCACACTCACAAACACACACACACACACTCATACAGTCATCGCACACCCACACAGTAAAAATCTGAACTTGTTTGCCAACTGCGACGAAGCGAACTAATAAATTTCTACTTTGTTTTCCCCCTTTTCAATAATTTTTCCAGATTCAAGAAATCGCGCTAAGACAAAAATTCGCGCACAAACACACACACACACATGCATACGCATACGCGCACACATTAAAGTATATAAATGCGCAAAAAGTGTGCTAGTATAAGTGTGAGTGTGTTGCTAGTATGTAATGATGTAGATGATTGCAATGATAATGAAAATGATCATAATGATAATAATGATGATGATGTTTTTGATGTGGCAGACGCGACCGAACTGCTAACATAGTTGAGCAACGTTTCGCGAAAGTACAGCAATGTGGAAAATTGTAAATACAACGACCAAAAACTCAAAACGCAGAAAAACTAAACGCGCAAAAAGAAGAATTTTCATGCTCGCGTCACCATAAGACATCATAAAGAAAAGAAAAACTGTCGTAAAAAGGCAGTCATAAAGGAAAACCCACCACTTAACAGGGTAGTGGGCTTCAACAAGAACAACACCAACAACAACAGTAAGAATTTCAATTTCTAGCTAAAAAAAAAATAACAAAAGCAACAACAACAGCGAATAACAAGAAAATCCTGCGAAGTAGAAAAAAGTTCAAGTCCGAAGTAGAAAAACCACTTAAAACATCGATGAGAAGTTGACGGAGTCGGAAGAGCGGCGCGATTAACGCGTCGCAAGAGCGAGCACTAGCTAGAGCGAGAGCGTAAAAAGGTGTTAGGAGAAGCAGGAAGGGAGGGCGCGACAGGAGTCTGCAAACGACAAAGACGAACGCGTGCTAAGGAGCTAAGAAGCAGCCGTTGTTGTTATTGCGACGATTTTTTTTGTAAACTATATATTTAGTGGTAGCTGAGTGAAAAGGTGGTGTGTGTGCTGGTGGTCACGCAAGACGTGGCAATCGTCTGCAGGAGCCGAACCAATAATAACAGCGAGACAAAGGCAGCTGCAATTGCACCTTTAGCAGCAGCGGCAGCGGTAACGGCAGCGACAGCGACAGGAGCGCCAAAGAGCGACAGCCGAGAGAGCGGTTTGTGTGTATATTTTCGTGTGTGCCGAGCGGCAGAGAGCATACACGAGACCCGAAGCAAAACAACGAAGCAATCGAAGCGACTGCCGCGCGTAGCGACGTCACCTTCGGCCATTCGGCTTTAGTAGTTGTAATTTGCAAAGCAAGGAGCGAGGAACGCGCGCGAAAACGAGCTAAACAAAACGAAAAAGGAACGAACTAACGAAACGAGTAAAGCGCTTTTGGAAGAGGGGAGCAGAGGGTAGTAGAGTGGAATCGGTAACCACAGCAACAACGGCCCACGGGTGTTTGCCTGTGTGCGTGTATGTGAGAGAGTGCTTGTGAGTGTTCAAGGGGGAAATTGACGCATTCCAAACGCGGTTCGGTTACAGGCATTGGCTGACGTTGTTTCTCTTGTAGCTGTTGCCGCTGCTTTTGTTGATATTGTAGTCCCGCGTTGCTAATACCGGTATTTTCGACTCACGTGAACGTTGTTATTTTATTTCGTATTTTGCATTGTTCCCAGCAGCCGCTGCAAGGAAAGTTTGTGCCGCCAACAACGCGTTGCAAATACAGCCGGGTCAACATAAACGATTTGCCAATGCAAATACAAATGCAAAAAATCAAAGATCAGCAAGTGCGTATATTATGGGCCGCTCTAAGTTCCCCGGGAAACCATCGAAGTCGATCAATCGTAAACGGATAAGTGTCCTGCAATTGGAGGATGATGCAGCGGCGGCGGCTAGCGCTGCATCCACAGCGGCAACAGAGCAGCATCAGCAGGGCGAACAGAGCGCCGGCTCAGCGTCGCGGGAGAAAGGCAACAATTGTGATAACGATGACGATGATAATGCGCCAAGCGGCGCGGCGACCAGCGGAAACAGCGCTGCGTCAAGTGGAGTTGCGAGTGCCACAGCCGAAGGTGGCGGCAGCACCGGGAATGGATCCAGCGGAGGCAGCACTACAAATGGTGGCAATGTAAATGGAGGCAGTCACCACAAGAGCGCCACAGCGGCATCCGCAGGGCCGGCTGAGGTCAAGGAATGCAAAAATCAAGGCAACAATATCGAGCCTAACAACTGCATTGCCGCTGGGCCCGATGAGGCCGAGGACACAAATAACGATGACGACGATGACAGCGGCAATGACAAGAAGGCAACAGCCGGCGCTGCTGCCCTCGTTGTCTCTGCGGCTGCTGGTGCTGCCGCCTTTGGGCCTGGGCTCGGTGCGTTGCAGCGTGCACGCAAAGGAGGCAATAAAAAATTCAAAAACTTGAATCTGGCCAGAGCGGAGGTGATGTTGCCTTCAACGTCGAAACTCAAGCAACAACAGCAACAGCAATTGCAACTTAATTGCCCTTCATCGTCTTCATCATCATCTGCTCCTACGACAACAAAGGCGACGGCTTTAGCGATAGCTGCGCTGGCGGCGACAGCGGGAACGACGTCAACGTCGACGTCGGCGTCAAGCATGCCTGGGACGTCACTGGCAGCAACTGCTGGGGGCGGGGGAGGCACAGCTACTGGCCTGCTAGCGAACCCCTTTGCCAGCGTCGAGACAAAAGTGGTCGAGGCAGCAGCCGCATCAGCAGCAGCAGCAGGCGCTGGCGAAGATGTTGCAATGGTAAGTGGATTTCTTTAGATCATGTTGTACTGTACACACACGATACGCGCCCGCTTTATAAATGCAACACACACACATACACCTACATGCAACACATACATATACTTATATATATGTGTGTATATAAATAAGTTAAAGCCGATTTAACTCAGTGATTTTTTGTTGTTTTTTTGTTTGGTGTCTCGTCTTTTGTGTGTTGCGTGTTATTTGCTTATTCTGCCCCATTTCAGGCAATGTAAATAAGAACCCCGTCAAGTCGGGCGCTAAATTATGCGCCCCGGACTTGAATTGTACTTACTTGCTAACTAACTAGTGGTTACCCTATCGCCTGCCTGTCTGCCTATTGCTTGTGAGCTGCTCGCTTACCTGCTTAATTGGCTCTTATGACGTTTTCGCGCTTTCCCCCGCCTGCCTGCCTACCTATCTACTTACCTACCTACCTGGCTGTACCTGCACATAACTCGTTTTTCCCCCAAAACTTGCACTTGCTTACTGCTTTCCCCACCCGGCACCCTGCACCCTGTACCCTGTACCCTGTATCTGCATCCCATACTCCTATTCGCATATCCCTTGCCCTGCTTTGTTCTGCTTTGTTTTGCTTTGCATGCTTGTTCGCCTGCTTTAGTTTTTACGAGCATGCATGTAGTTGTTATTTGCTCATTTTTTAGTTGTTTTTACTTGCATGCATTATTGATTGGCTAAAAGACATCGAGTGGAACCTTTATGACTAACCTGTCGTTTACGTTTTTCCAGCTAAAGACTTCAATCGAAATGGGCAATGAGGCCGGCCCAGAAGTCACTGTCGCTGCAGTCAAATCGAATGGGTCCAGTCCAAATGCCAATGTCGTGGCCGGCACGAGCGCTGCCCCAGGGGCCCCAACGGCGACAAAGCAAAAGAAAACGGTCACCTTTAAGAACATACTCGAAACCAGTGATGACAAGTCGGTCGTGAAGCGTTTCTATAATCCGGACAATCGGGTGCCGCTCGTTTCGATCATGAAGAAGGATAGCCTCAATCGACCGCTCACTTATTGCAGAGGCAGCGAGTTTATTGTGCGTCCCTCCATACTGTCCAAAATACTCAACAAGAACTCCAACATCGACAAGCTCAACTCGCTGAAATTTCGCTCGGTGCATGCGTCGTCATCCTCCGTACAGGAAGCCAGCTCCACAAGTCTCTTTGGCTCTGGCCTGTCGCGAGCTTTTGGCGCCCCAATCGACGATGAGGACGCCGTTTCGGGGGGTGTCACGTTTCGAAAGCAGGAGCCTCCGTCCAAAACATCTGAAGACAACGACGATGATGGGTAAGTAATTAATAGTATATAAAACTTTATACTAATTAGTGAAATATTTAACGGAATATGAATTCCGTAAACACGTATCAAATATTATGAAATACTTAACAAGACACAAACATTAATTATCATTTGTAGCTCGGCAAGTAGCGATAATATCGAGGATGATGAGGACGTTGATGATGAAGAGGTGGACGACAACGACCAGGCGCCGTCGGAGAAGAATGCCGAAACAACGGCTAGCCTGGAAGAAAAGGATGACGAGGATAGGCAGCTGGTCATGGATAAACATTTCGTGTTGCCCAAACGAAGCACGCGTTCATCTCGCATCATAAAGCCCAACAAGCGTCTGCTGGACGTGGGCGGGATAAGCAGCAAGAAGAGCACCAGCGATGTCATTAGCAAGCCCAAACCGAAGAACTACTTTGGGCTTGGTGACTTTGCCAACGAAACGCTCGCCTCGACGTCTTCGTCGTCAGCATCAACGTCATCAGCTTTAGGCCAGAAGCTTTTGAAGGAAACATTTCCTAGCTTTGGCTCCGTGAAGCTCAACAGCAGCTTTGTGATGCGTCAGCCGCGCCTGCAATTCCAAACTGACAAGAGTGGATCGTTTGTAGGCGCTAAGCTAGCCACAGCGGTGCCATTGCCTGCATCATCAAGTGCCATTTCGTCAGTAAATGCTTTATCCTTTGGCTCTCTCAATAATGCAAATTCAGGTATGGGAATCATGGCATCAAAGTTCTTGTGATATATGATTTATAAATTTCGTTTTCGTACGTGTAGCCGTAGCTACGTCATGTGCTATTTGCTCAGCACCAGTAAATAACAAGGAGGCGGCGCTGGCGCGAAAATATGGTGCAATTGCCTGTGAGGTTTGTCGCAAGTTCAACTCCAGAATGACAAAGATATCCAAGCAATCAACGCCCACACAGCCCGTGCAGCAGCTACAGTGCAGAGGCACAGACGGTATGCAGCTATTGAAATCGTTGTAATAAGCAAATAAATAATTTCTAACCCTAACAATACAGGTGGCAACTGCAGCATACAATCGACCAAGAGCCAATTGAAGAACTTCAAGAAGCTCTACAAGGAGCGCTGCACGGCGTGCTGGCTAAAAAAGTGCATGTCAGCATTCCAGCTGCCCACGGCGCATAGAAGCCGCTTGAGTGCCATTTTGCCCGCCAATATGCGCGAAGAGACTGCACCCAAGGATGACAAGTGCACGGAGCTGTTGTCGCCAACGGCAAGCATGCGCTTTACAGCGCCGACTAGCTCAGCAACGTCTGCAAGCTCAAGCTCGACCATCATGTGGAAATCCAGTGGCGAGTCTGCAGTTAACTGCATCAAGTCGAATCCTCTTGCAGAGAATAATGTTACCTTTGGCAGTACTCCATTGCTTCGTCCCGCAATACTCGAAAAGCCGCTGTTCTTAAAAATTGCCAACGATAATAAAAAACCGAAAGAGTTGAAAGTCGCATCCACGGAGGCTGTTCGTGTAAGTCCTGGGCCCAGCATCAGTGAACCGGCAATCGCGCCAAACAAAACAACGCGAAAAGCCAAGCAGGACAAGGAGAAAGCAAAGGAGCAGGAAGGTGATAAGCAGCTCAGCCCTAGCGTCAAAAAGGCGACTGAGGCCAACACATCAGAGACTCAAAAGGATGAACAACAACCAGCAACTGCAATTGGAACACCTGTCAATAGCTCTTCTACATCTCAAACTAACTCCGCCACGACCACCAACAGTGCAATGGAGACGGCTGAGGCAACCTCCACAACGACGGCGCCGGATAACTTGAAGCGGCAACGCATTGATTTAAAGGGGCCACGTGTAAAACACGTGTGTCGCAGTGCGTCCATAGTCCTTGGGCAGCCGCTAGCCACATTTGGCGACGAGGAAGATGAATTGGCTGCGGTAGAGGCAGCACCACCAACCACTGCATCAGAGGCCAACGTCAAAAAGCCTAAGTCGCCGCTGCCCGTGCAAATGATCATCGACGAAAACGATAATTGTGCCACCTGCAAACCAGCAGCTAATGAAGTCGTAGCGGAAGCCCAACCAGTTGTTAAGAGTGTGCTAGAATCGAAGAGCGGCAAATCAAGTACGCAAACAGAGGCTAAAAAGACGACAGCTACATCGGGCTCGTCTAAGGGCAAGGTTACCACGCGGAATGCGACGGCAACTGTGACATCAGCTGCTAGCGGTCTGGTGGCCAACAAAAAGCAGCGCAACTACGAGGCAAGCAGCAGTGCTGGCAGTCAAGCGGCTGCTCCTCAAAGTCGTCGTGCGCTGGCCAAGGAGGTCAATCGGCTGAAGGTGTTGATTTCAATCGATTTCTGGGAGAACTATGATCCGGCTGAGGTGTGTCAAACGGGATTTGGGTTGATTGTCACGGAAACAGTTGCGCAGCGAGCACTGTGTTTTCTGTGCGGCTCAACGGGCTTGGATCCCCTTATCTTTTGCGCCTGCTGCTGCGAGCCCTATCATCAGTATTGTGTGCTGGACGAGTACAATCTGAAGCACAGCTCCTTTGAGGATACGCTGATGAACAGCTTGTTGGATACGTCCAATAATGCTTGCGCCCTTTCAGCGGCTTCCAATGCGGCACTGAATCAGCTGACGCAACGGCTTAACTGGCTGTGTCCACGTTGTACCGTATGCTATACGTGCAACATGTCGTCCGGATCGAAGGTGAAGTGCCAAAAGTGCCAGAAGAACTATCACAGCACCTGCCTGGGCACCAGCAAGCGGCTCCTGGGGGCTGATCGGCCTCTCATCTGCGTGAACTGTTTAAAGTGTAAGTCCTGCGCCACCACCAAGGTATCCAAGTTTGTGGGCAATTTGCCCATGTGCACCGCTTGCTTTAAACTGCGCAAGAAGGGCAACTTTTGTCCAATCTGCCAAAAGTGCTATGACGACAACGACTTCGACCTAAAGATGATGGAGTGTGGCGACTGCAACCAGTGGGTGCACTCGAAGTGCGAGGGCCTCAGCGACGAACAGTACAATCTCCTGAGCACGCTGCCCGAATCCATTGAATTCATATGCAAAAAATGTGCTCGACGTTGCGATGTCTCCCGCAACAAAGCGGACGAATGGCGACAAGCTGTTATGGAGGAATTCAAGTCGAGTCTGTACAGTGTGCTTAAGCTGCTCAGCAAATCGCGGCAAGCTTGCGCCCTGCTAAAACTCAGTCCACGCAAGAAACTGCGTTGTAGCTGTGCAAATGGAGTAGGCAGTGCGGGCGGCAAGGCTCATAGTCAAGGCAAGCTACAGCCCAAGGCGTTACAGTTTACCTATAACGGGCTGGGCAGCGATGGTGAGAGCCAGAACAGCGATGACGTCTACGAGTTCAAGGAGCAGCACTGTGCCAATCCAAAGCCGTCGACGCCGGTGCCATGCACTTGCCTGCAGTCATTGAGCCAGTCACAATCGTTCAGTTTGGTTGACATTAAGCAAAAGATCGCAAGCAATGCATACGTTTCGCTGGCTGAGTTTAACTACGACATGAGCCAGGTAATACAGCAGAGCAACTGTGATGAGCTAGACATAGCCTACAAGGAGCTGCTTAGCGAACAGTTTCCCTGGTTCCAGAATGAGACCAAAGCCTGCACAGATGCGCTCGAAGAGGATATGTTTGAGTCGTGCGGCTACGAGGAACTGGAGGAATCACCGTCGACATATGCCGACCATCATACAGCAACGCAGCCATCGCGTGCTGGTCTCTTGGACATACCACTGGATGACGTAGATGATCTGGGCGGTTGTGCAGTCAAGACGCGACTTGATACGCGCGTTTGCCTCTTCTGCCGCAAGAGCGGCGAGAGACTCTCTGGAGAGGAAGCGCGTCTGCTTTACTGTGGTCACGACTGCTGGGTGCACACGAACTGCGCCATGTGGTCCGCCGAGGTGTTTGAGGAAATTGACGGCTCGCTGCAGAATGTGCACAGCGCTGTGGCACGTGGTCGCATGATTAAGTGCACCGTTTGCGGAAATCGAGGCGCCACAGTTGGTTGCAATGTGAAGTCGTGCGGCGAGCACTATCATTATCCTTGTGCGCGCAGCATCGACTGTGCCTTCCTCACCGACAAGTCTATGTATTGTCCGGCACATGCCCGCAATGCGCTGAAAGCCAATGGCTCTCCGGGCGTTACCTTTGAAACGAACTTCGAGGTGTCGCGTCCAGTTTATGTTGAGCTCGATCGTAAGCGCAAAAAGCTGATTGAGCCCGCTAAAGTGCAATTCCATATTGGATCGCTAGAGGTGCGACAACTGGGCTCGATTGTGCCGCGTTTCTCCGACTCCTTTGAAGCCATTGTTCCGATCAACTTCCTGTGCAGCCGACTTTATTGGTCGTCCAAGGAGCCCTGGAAGATCGTGGAATACACGGTGCGCACCACGATACAGAACAGTTACTCGACGACGCTGACACTGGATGCGGGGCGAAACTTCACTGTGGACCACACCAATCCCAATTGCTCCCTAGTGCAGTTAGGACTGGCGCAGATAGCGCGCTGGCATAGCAGTCTAGCTCGTAGCGATTTGCTGGAAACGGATTGGGCCGAGTTCCCCAATTCCTATGTTTCCCCCGATGAGAACACCGAAGAGGAACCTCAACAGAATACGGACCTCTTGCCGCCAGAGATAAAGGATGCCATATTCGAGGACTTGCCGCACGAGTTGCTCGACGGCATCTCCATGCTGGACATATTTATGTATGAGGATCTGGGCGACAAGACCGAACTGTTCGCCATGAGCGAGCAATCCAAGGATGGCACAACGGGGACATCTCAAGCGACGGGTGCTTCAGTGAGCATCTGCGACGATGATACGCGCAACTCAAATAGCTTAAGCAAGCAACTGGAGCTAAGCAATTGCTGGCCAGCCAGCAATCCCGTTGAAGATGCCATGTTATCCGCTGCACGCTGCTCCAATCAGGCGAAGCAGCGCAGCGAAGCGCTCAAAAAAACAGCCACGGCCCAGACTCGTTCTTGGCCCAAGATGGATGGCAGCAGTGTTGCGGTCTTTAAACGGCGCAAGCTCTCCAAAAACATTGCAGAGGGCGTGCTCCTCAGTCTCAATCAGCGCAACAAAAAGGAAATGGCCACCGTTGCCGGCATCACGCGGCGTCAGTCTATCTGCGGCAGCAACGAGCTGCCCGTGGAAGGAAATGCAGCCATGCGCACCAAGAGCTTTACGTGGAGTGCAGCAAAGCGGTATTTCGAGAAGAGCGAATCTCGCGATGAGGCTGCCAAGTTGAAGATTATGCAAATGGATGGCGTGGACGATTCGATCACCGAGTATCGTATAATTGGCGGCGATGGCAACTTGTCCACGGCTCAGTTCACGGGTCAGGTGAAATGCGAGCGTTGCCAGTGCACATATCGCAACTACGATTCCTTTCAGCGTCATTTGGCCAGCTGTGAGCCTATGTCCACCAGCGAATCGGAGTCCGAAACGGCAGCGGGCACCACTCAGCTTAGCGCCGAGAGCCTCAATGAACTGCAGAAACAGGCATTTGCCGCTGCCACGCTAGGCAACACTGGCGGACTCAACTATTTGCAGACATCCTTTCCTCAGGTCCAGAACCTGGCCACCTTGGGCCAGTTCGGAGGTCTACAGGGGTTGCAAGCGCTGCAACTGCAGGCACAGTCTCTGGGCAATGGCTTCTTTCTCTCCCAGCCGAATGCCACACAAGCCACGTCCAATGGCAACGATGAGCTGCAGCTCTATGCGAACTCACTACAAAATTTGGCGGCCAACCTGGGCGGCGGCTTTACGCTGACACAGCCAACTGTTAGCACGCAAGCGCAACCACAGCTGATAGCCCTGTCCACGAATCCGGATGGAACGCAGCAGTTCATACAGATACCACAGAGCAATGGAGGTGCGACACAGTTGCTGCAGACAACTGCGCCGACTGCAATGCCGACGACCACATATCAAACATTGCAGGCGACCAATAGCGATAAGAAAATCGTTCTGCCGCTGCGTGGCACAGGCAAGCCGCTCAAGACGGTGGCCACTAAAGCAGCACAGCAGGCAACGGCGGCGGCTAAACAGAAGCAGCTGAAATCAGCGCAAGGCGTGAAGCCCATTCAGGCGAAGCTGCAGCCCCAGCAACAGCAGCCGCAGCATCAGCAACAGCAGCCCATCACAGTCACCGCTGGCACCACCCAGCTGCTTGGCCAGAACTTGTTGCAGCCACAGCTGCTCTTCCAGAGCAACGCACAGCCGCAAACATCGCAGTTGCTGTTGCCGCAAACGCAGGCACAAAACATCATTTCGTTTGTGACCGGAGATGGCAGCCAGAACCAGCCGCTGCAATACATCTCGATACCCACTGCAAACGACTATAAGCCACAGCAGACGACGGCTACACCCACATTCTTGACAGCTCCAGGCGGTGGTGCAACGTTTCTGCAAACAGATGCAAGTGGAAATCTAATGCTAACCACCGCTCCAACCAACTCGGGCTTGCAGATGCTGCAGACACAACCTCAGGTCATTGGCACGCTCATCCAGCCGCAGACTCTGCAGCTAACCACTGGAACGGATGGAACGCAGAGTAACACAGGACAGCAGCCGCTCATATTGGGCGGCGCTACTAATGGTGGTGCCACGGGTCTGGAGTTCGCCACAACGACGCCACAGGTCATACTGGCCACGCAGCCCATGTATTACGGTCTGGAAACAATAGTCCAAAACACGGTGATGTCTTCCCAACAGTTCGTTTCTACAGCCATGCCGGGAGTGCTCAGCCAGAACGCTAGTTTCTCGGCCACGACGACGCAGGTATTCCAGGCCAGCAAAATCGAACCGATTGTCGATCTACCCGCTGGCTATGTGGTGCTCAACAATGCTGTGGATGCGGGCAGCAGCTCGGGCTGGAATACGTCCAGTGTACTGCAGCAGAGCCAGTCGCAGACAACCGACGACGCCACTACACAGCTGCTGCAGAATGCTGGCTTTCAGTTTCAGACTACGCCCACCACATCCACGCATCAGACCATGTCGGACTATGTGGCCCCAATGGTGGTTACAGCAAAAATACCGCCGGTGGCACAGATGAAGCGTAATACAAATGCGACAAAAGCAAATATCTCGGTGCTAAGTAAGGTTCAGCCGCAGTCACAGCAACCCCAAGTGGTCAACAAGGTGCTGCCCACCAACGTGGTTACGCAGCAGCAGCAACAGTCACAGCAACACCAGCAGCAACAGCAGACACAGTCAAAGCAACCACTAACGGGACATGCTAGTGCGAAACTTACGTCACAATTTCAGCGGCAACAGCTGACTAACGAGTTAAAGAGCAAACAACAAGCGGTGCATCAGACGGGCACCACGTGTGGCGCCCCGCCCAGCATAGCATCGAAGCCGCTGCAGAAGAAAACCAACTTGATCAGGCCCATTCACAAGGTGGAGGTGAAGCCCAAGCTTATGAAGCCGGCATCCAAACTGCCCACGGCAGCAGGTGCAATTCAGCATCAGCAGCAGCAACAGTCGCCAGCAGTGGCCAATCAAGTGCCCAAGGTGTCGCTGCTGCAACAGCGCTTGCCCGCACCACTGCAACAACAGCAGCAACAGCAGTTACAGCAACAACAACAGTTGCAGTCGCAACAACAACAACAGCAACAGCTATCCGTACCGCAACTGCTGACCACACAGCAGCCCATCATCAGCATAGTGGGCGCATCGGAGCCACAGGCCACCACACAGTTCGTGATGACGCCGACGGTGCAGGCACAGCCCATACAGCTGCTTGAGCAGCAGTCGCAACAGCCGCAGCAGCTGCAGCAACAACAGGCACAGCAGCAGACGGATCTTCTCATAAATGGTAATCCTACAAGGCTGCAGCATTATGTCAGCAATTCGTTACCCACGAATGTGGTCAATCCGCTGCAGCAGCAGCAGCCGATAGCCGTTAACGCTAACAACAGCACCACTGTGGCGCCGCAGAATAGCATAACAATAAATAGCCGGCCCACGAACCGGGTGTTGCCCATGCAACAGCGTCAGGAGCCGGCGTCTCTGAACAGCGACATCGTGGTGCAGTCGCCAACGCCACCTAAGCCCATAGAGGAGCCAGTTGCCTCGGTGGCATCCACCCAGAAACCTGTGGTCAAGTGTTACGCACAGCAGGAACAGAAATCTCCTGGCTACGATACGGAACTCAAGACGAGCGCCACATTGGATAGTCTAGTGCAGACGAATTCTATAACCACGCTGCAGTTACAACAGCAGCAACAGGAGCCTATCTACAGCGAACACGTCTTCGAGAAGCAGTCGGAGGCACAGCAACAGCTGGAGAAGCCCAAAAGCAACGATCTCATGCTCATGGAGTCCACATCGTGCCAACAACAGCAACATCAACAACAGCAACAGCATATGGATATAGTAAATAATGGCTTCCAGCTAACGTCTAATGAGAATTGCCTGCTTGAAAAACATGGCTTCCATGTTGAAGAGGTGCCTATGGAGACTGAAGATCACTATGGCAGTCTGAAGAACGGCATCGGTAATGAGGGGCTCAGTCAGCTGGATGATGCCGATGAGGATGAGGAAGATGATGACGATTTCAGTTTAAAGATGGCAACATCAGCATGTAATGACCACGAGATGTCCGATAGCGAGGAGCCGGCGGTAAAGGAGAAGATCAGCAAAATTCTAGACAATCTGACAAACGATGATTGTGCCGATTCAATAGCCACGGCGACTACAGTCGAAGCGAGCGCTGGGTATCAGCAAATGGTTGAGGATGTGCTGGCCTCGACTGGCGCTGGGTCAGTGGCTACGGATGATGAAGCCTTCACAGCCACCGCAGAGGAGACGGCAGCAGTGGAAGCAGCGGCCAGCTACATTAACGAAATGGCCGAAGCACATGAGCTGCAACTGAAGCTACAGGCGGGCGTTGAGCTGGATTTGAAGAAACCCAAACTAGATCTACCACAGCAGCCGGATACCGTGCAGCCTAATGTGGTGCCTACAGCAGCTGCTCCACAGCAACCGCCGTCAATGCGTGACCCCAAGAGGATAAGCGGGCCACATCTGCTGTACGAGATTCAAAGCGAAGATGGTTTTACCTACAAGTCGAGCTCAATTGCCGAGATCTGGGAAAAGGTATTCGAAGCTGTGCAAGTCGCACGGCGAGCTCACGGTCTCACGCCGCTGCCCGAGGGTCCGCTGGCTGATATGAGCGGTGTGCAAATGATTGGCCTTAAGACCAACGCACTGAAGTATCTAATCGAGCAGCTACCAGGGGTCGAAAAGTGCGTCAAATACACGCCCAAGTATCATAAGCGCAATGGTAATGTATCCACATCTTCCGGAGCTGGACATGTGGCCAGCGTAGCTGGCAACAATGCGGAAATTCTTGGCGCTGGAACAGATGGTCAGGCGCTTATTGACTACGGCTCAGATCAGGAGGACCTGCAGGAGAACGCATACGAATGTGCTCGCTGCGAGCCGTACAGCAGTCGCTCCGAGTATGATATGTTTAGCTGGTTGGCGTCCAGGCATCGCAAGCAGCCCATACAGGTGTTTGTGCAACCTTCAGATAACGAACTGGTGCCCAGGTAGGTTGATTACTTTGACTGATTGGCGAACTTAACTAATTCACGTTTGACTTTGTAGACGTGGAACTGGCAGCAATCTTCCCATGGCCATGAAATACCGTACGCTGAAGGAGACCTACAAGGATTACGTTGGCGTATTTCGCTCACACATCCATGGACGAGGTCTCTACTGCACTAAGGATATTGAAGCGGGTACGTGAAGTCCCTAAACTTGCCGTCAACTCCAGCTAATTGTTAAGTAACTATTTTTACGCAGGTGAAATGGTTATCGAGTACGCCGGAGAACTGATACGATCTACGCTGACGGACAAGCGGGAACGGTATTATGACAGCCGCGGCATTGGCTGCTATATGTTCAAGATTGACGACAATCTCGTTGTGGATGCCACAATGCGTGGCAATGCGGCACGCTTTATCAATCACTCTTGTGAGGTGAGTAGCAGAGCATTAGTTTGAGTCTGTAAATCGATATTATAATCTTAATGATTCCGTCCTCCGCAGCCGAATTGCTACTCGAAAGTCGTTGATATACTTGGGCACAAGCACATCATAATCTTTGCCCTGCGTCGCATCGTGCAGGGCGAGGAGCTGACGTATGACTACAAATTCCCATTTGAAGATGAGAAAATACCCTGTTCATGCGGCTCAAAGCGATGCCGCAAGTACTTAAACTAGGCAAAAGTTAATATGCATATATATAAGCACATATATATATATATAATACCAGAAGTGGACGGCGCAGTGCGCTTGTCCAGGACATACTCAATGAAGAAACAAGCAACATGTGTAGTTAACGGTTATTTCGATCTAATTTTTGGTCAATCGTGATACATTTCATTTGATAGCATATATTTTAAGTAGACGTAGATAAAACAGTTGTAGATGTAAGAGTTAAAACGTTGATATTATATAAAATATATATCCCATACATATTCGTATATAAACAACTAATAACACCACAATATTACGCGACTTGTGCTCATATAGGACTTCCGTATATGGCAAACCCATTGATATAACCTGTGCGATATATATATATATATATATATATATATATATATATATATATATATATTGTTACTAAAAGTGTATATTTACACATTCACACACGCATACAAACACAAACACATACAATAACATGGGAAAACTCGATGATTTCAGTATTCGGCGAAGATGGTTTAAGTGTATATGAAATATGTTTAAAATACATATGTATTAGCTACCATATATGGAATTCAGTATATTAAGGCTTGACAGATTCTATATATTTTAACAAAATTAATAACTATGTTGCACATCACACGGTCAAGATCAATATATATATATATATTTATGTATATATATGTATTGTTACTAGATATGTTAGCTGTTTGGTCAGATTATCAACCCATTAATGGCCAAATCGGTGGACAACCATTTAATGATTATTTACAGGGGCTTGTGTTAGATTGTAAATAAAGAAAAAGAAAAAGAAAGGATATAAAGTGTTAGGTAATTAAATATTTATGCATAAGAAGCAACAAATCTCTAATTATATAAAAACAAAAAGCAGATTAAACTATTTTATGTAGATATATGCACACATGCAAATTGAGTATTTACGTTTGTTGCAATTGAACTTACTAACTATTACAAATAATAATAATCCACTGGCCTAATCTAATATATACATATATATATATACTTAAACATGCATACACACAATACACCACACACCACACACCACAAACACGCATACACATGAGTATGTTAGTATTGGCTAAACAAAAAGTAACTAAGCATCACCTTTGAAATTATTTTGTGAACAGAAAACACTAATGTAATTGTAAAGAAGCGATACACAAACGCATATTTATGCTATAATTTTGAGGCACGCACGTATTCGTGCTTTTAATTTATGTATCTCTTATCCATTTGTAATGTTTTGAATTGTGTCTATGTAAATTCTTATAAATCGTTTGTAATCGCTTAAAAACAAAAGATTGTGTTCTAAATTTATAATTAGTTTAAATATGTAAAATTGTTTTTTTTTTGCGTAACATCAGCCTCTTATTGCCGGCTTCTACAAGTAAACCTTAATTGATAAGCAGCTCCCTTGTATTCTATTAGTTGTAATATGTATTGATTCGGTTAAGCCTACGTTTAGCTCGTTTTATATTTGTATTTTTGTCGAAAGTCGGCTTGAGAAATTCAACCACATTATCTATATAACTTACATAGTTCGGTTCGGAATCATACGAAAGCTAGCAAGCAAACGAATGTACAGGCAAAGTTCCGCAGCATTTTTGGCAGCCATTCAGACGCGGGCACTTTTTGTCCGACGTCAAGGAATTTTATATTTTTATTCCCTAAAGAAAAAAGTTTAATAAACTACAGAATAAATTATTTTAAACAATGTGCTTTTCTCTTTTCTGGCATTTCGAAAATATAGATGTGTATATGAGGGTCACCCAGTGAAGTGGGCGTGGCCGATCGGGAAAAACTGTGTTCCATGTTGAGGCAGCTTGAGGCATGCCAATAGGAGGAGAATAAAAGATGTGATCAAGGGATTACATTGTTTCTTATTATACAGATTGATCAGTACAAAAATATAGATATATTTATATATATATATACAAGTATGCTTAAATGATACTCATTGGACGTGGTCAACTCGCTGCCTTGCCTCGTTGGCCGCGCATAACGCTGAGTGGGCCGCCTTCTTGGTTTTGGCATAGTCGTTACGGGCCTCACTCAGTTGGCGTAGCAGAATGGCCACGCGCTTTTGGGCAGCTTGGAGAAGGCTGGTCTTGTCCGCCATGGAATGCTGGCAGGCGGCGGAGACCTGCTTTGCGCTATCGAAATTCTCTTTGGCCAGCTTAAGCCCAGCAATAAGCAGCTTCATCTCTTCTTGAGACTGTCGGTGTGCTTTGAGTGCCAACTCGATGTTGGCCTCAGCTGAGTTCAGCTCCATAGACTCTTCCTGCACTATCACCTCGGCCTCACGCACCTCCATCTCCAGCTGTTTGAGCGCCTGCCGTTTGCCCGCTAGCACAGCCTCTGCAGCTCTGGCAGCTGCGGACGCCTTTTCCGAATACTCGATCTTAATCCGGTCGGATGCCTCCTTCACCGCAACAGCCATATGATCGTTCGCCTGCTTGGCCTCTATCGCTGCTTTCATCGCTATGCCCATGCCGTAGGACTTCGAGTTGATCCTTCTGCCTTTAGGTACTTGCGGCGCTCTAGCGCGATCATTATCACAGCTTGACTGATCGCCCTCCCCAACGTCTTGAAATCTTCCTCTGTCAACGACGACTTTGCTGTTGTGGTTTAACAGCCGCCTAGCTCGACCCTGATGCGCTGCTCTGTACAGATCCCGGCGAGATGAGTAGCCCCAAGCGAATTCTATTTGTGTAACACACCACAATATAATGAACCACATGATTTGAAAGTATAGTCGCATTTTCCTTACTAAAAAAGATTTAACTTTCACAGTTTTGAAACATAGTACCACTTGACAGCTGCTTCCTATAATAATAAATGTGCAAAGGACAGAACAATGCTCTCAATTGTGGTCAGTTGGAGAAACTCAGGTGCCCGAAGATTGCAAGCAACCCAAGACTTGTCGTGACCGATCCCAAAACCAAAGCCACAAATAAAAATAAAAACAAATCATGGATCAACTGGAGACGGAGCATAGCGAAGCCTATCGTTCGTGATGTAAGTAACTCCCTACTGAATATGCCGGCCAACTATGCAACCAGCGAAGCGAAAAACTAGCTCGGAACAGGTGCAGCCATCCATCGTATCAGGCGGAGCACAGCAGCTGGCGCATCTGCTGGAAGCGGCTAAGCATCGAGTGGAGAGTTGAGCTTGGCCAAACAAAAAGCGCATAGGAATCGACGAAGAGTCGGACAACCACAATCCTCTTCTCCTTGATGATTTATCTCAATGAACACGTTCTATGTATTTTTATCTATAATCACCCAATGCCTCTAAAATACAGACTGATTTCGTAAGCCTAATAATTTATAGAAGAAACTATAGCAGCAAGGCGTGTGGAGGCAGCGACTAAGTTTGAAAAATATCGTAAATTTCACCATACGATATGCGATATAAGACACATGATAAAATACGATCATCGATCGCTGAGAATTTGTGTAACTTTGTGAATAAAAAAGTACGTTAATATCGATTCAACTTTGATGCTGAACAGGAATACATAGACTTATAGATATGAGGATTTTTTGCTGTTCTCAGGCTTTAGGAACGTAGTCAATATAGCGCCATGTGTCGAAATGAGTTTGACTGGACTGAATTGCTAGGAATATGTTTTGTCGGACCGTGTTGCTGCTGTTGCTTCTTTTGCTGCAGGCGATCACGAAGCTGGACAGCTACAGCTACGACGAGTCTGGTAAGAGGAATGGGCGAGAGGATGGCGATAAGGATGCAATGGGATGTTCGACGGACGGCCGTAACAAAAAGGTCGGCAATATGCTGGACAAAAGTGACCCCCAGACGAAGGCGTCGAATATTGCGCAGAAGGCGGCGCAGGAGGCGAGAGCAGCTAGCGATGCCCAAATGTCCGCCGCAGAGGCAGCTGCCACGCAGGTGAAGCAGGAGCTTGCCGAGAGGGCGGCGCAATCAGCGCGTGCCGCCGAGGCGGCACTGGCCGGGAAACAGCAGATCGTGGAGCAACTGCAAGACGAAATGTGCGAAGCGGACGCCGTTGTCACGGAGATAACCTCATCCCTACAGAGCACACAGGCTAATGCCAACACCGCAGCAGAAGCTGTCGCCGAGGCGCAAGCTCAGCTCAGTCAGTTGAAACGTTTGGTAGCCTCGTCTACGGCGAATCTAGTCAATATCCAGAATGTGGCAAACGGTGCTCAGCTGGAGTTGGCTGAGAAAACGCAGCTCTTGGAGGCTGCCAAAAATCGTGTGCAGAATTTGAATCGCCAACTCACGGAGGCCAGCCAGGACTGTGAGAAGACGAAGAAAGCTGCATACAAAGCCGCCTGTGCGGCAGTCGAGGCCAAGCAGAAGGCTTCCAGAAGTCGTCGGATGAGCGCTCGTTGGCATCAGCCAAAGGTAATGTAACTGTATTTATTCTCCATTATTCTCTTCTCTTTATTCTCTTCGTTTTTTATTTGGCATTTGTTTATTTCATTTTTAGTTTTAAATTTAAATTTCATGTTACATTTCCCATTTGGGATTTTTGTTCAACTATACATTTCCCCTGTGGTGAATTACTGGCAGCGCTGTTAAATAACATTTATCTACCTGCTATAAACAGCGAAACAATTTATTGATGCGCGCTGTGAACAATTCTCAGTAAAATTGGCATACTGAAACGAACAAATTTATAAGCATAGTCAAGTACGCAATGCTATTACATATATATTTTGTATATATGCGAAATAAATACTACAACTGCACTTGCATTATTTCACTTTTAAATCTGCCAGTGCTGCCCACTAATGTCTGGTGGCTCAATTTAGCGATGGGCAGCACTGCCAAATCAGCTGGTCGTAACCAAACCAGCCGGCGAATTGTTATGTTAGTTTATTTAATAAAATCATAAATTTATAAGCTAAATGCTTATTTTAAAATGTTATTTAGTAAAATAAGGCATATACAATTACTTGGAGTGCGTTGCAGAAGCTCCCATTATGTTACAACACCTATATTCTACGTTAATGCAGGTATGTGTGAGGCGCGTGGATATTGAATAAGAGTTTAGGCGGAATTAAACCGTATTCTTTCGAGCAGCTCCACACATTGGACATCTTTACTCTGCAGTCATAGCCGACGCACATTGCCGTTATCAGCGACTGCGCTATCCGGACACTGAAGTGCGCCTCTGCACCGGCACAGATGAGCACGGCACAAAGATTCAACAGGCGGCAGCTGCGCACAAGGTGCCCGTGGGGCAGTACTGCGATGAGATTTCGTCGCGCTATCGCGAAGTGTTCGAGGCGGCGCGTATAGAATACGATGATTTCATACGCACCACCGAGCAGCGACACAAACTGGCTGTGTCTCACTTCTGGGTTGGTTGAGTCCGTGGCTAACTGTTAGTTCACTGATCAGTTTTGCATCCTCCACAGCACAGACTGCAATCGCGTGGTCACATTTATTCGGCGGCATACAGCGGCTGGTACTGTGTATCTGATGAGACTTTTCTGACCGACTCACAGCTGCGCTTAGACGAGACCAATGAAACACGCTACTCCTTGGAGTCTGGTCATCCCGTCGAGTGGACTGAGGAGACGAACTACATGTTTCGGTTATCCCAATTTCAGGATGATGTGCGTCACTGGGTTAAGCAGGAAGCACGCATCCGCCCTGCCAAATTTGAAAAGATTTTGCTCGACACGCTAAGCGAACCGCTGCCCGACGTGTCCGTCTCCCGTCCAGCGAATCGTGTGCATTGGGCCATACCCGTGCCGAATGACGAAACGCAAACGGTCTACGTTTGGTTAGATGCTCTCATTAATTATCTCAGCTCCCTCGGCTATCCTAATGAGCAGGTAAGCACAACTATCAAAGCCAATCCTAAACGTATTGCTGACTAAATGTTGTCTTTTACCTTTATCTAGTATCTAGCTCAATGGCCGCCAGCGCAGCAAGTCATTGGCAAGGACATACTCAAGTTCCACGGCATCTATTGGCCCGCCTTTTTAATGGCCGCTGGCCTGGAGCCGCCACGGCAGCTGCATGTGCACTCGCACTGGACTGTCGATGGTCAGAAGATGTCCAAGAGCAAGCACAATGTCGTAGACCCCGTAGAGGCAGCCAAACAGTATACTATGGAAGGCTTGCGTTACTTTCTGCTGCGCGAAGGCGTGGCACACAGCGATGGCAGTAAGTAAAAACGACGCACACAACCTTCTGAGCTGTGCAAGTTAATGCAATGTGTCAAGCAGAATGACCAAAACCCACCCGCGGTTACTTTAAGAGTTTACTTTCCTCTATCAGCAGAGGAGAGCAGAGCATCTCCCTCTAGGGCTGGCACACTTACACATCTGTGCATGCAAATATGTCTGTTTGAATGAACCTGCTTCGTCACTTTGCTGATTTCGTTAGTTTTGCTTGTACCTTAGTTGAATTTGCATTTCAATTTTATGCCAAAGGAGGAAAAAACTTTTGGTTTGTTGCAGGCGCCATCGCTTCTGTTGCTGTTGCTGTTGCTGCCGACTTTTGTTTATTTGCCTGCAAAGTTTTTGTATCTTGAACTCGGTTTAAGATTTGCGCATTTGCATAAGAGCACCGCTGGCTAATTCTTGGGGCTGACTCCCACTCGAGATTGTGGCTGGCTGTCGAAAGTTTAGGGCAAGTTTATGCTAGATATGATTAGTTTGTCATTTGCCTCCACCGCACTTTAATATTTGCTCTTCGCTCAGCCGTAAAATTCGTTCAAGAGCAGACCCTGTGGCACAATGGATTGTGAAATGATTTTATAGTCGGATGCCGATCTCGAATCCAATGTCAACTTGTGCATGGATGCATGCCTGCCGTGCAGCACCATGAACAACTAATTTCATTTGTTTTGTTACCAAAGGGCCTGCCGGACACCTTTCAGCCGTCAGAGACACGCACAACATTTTGCTAAAGCAATTAACACGGCTCGACGCACTGCCAGAAGTCATCAAAGTCACTTTGAGTGCTGCTGTCGTTGCTGCTGCGTGCGTCGTCGTCGTCGACGTTGTTGTTGTTGTTTTGTCACGCCCACTTTTGATGCGATTTGATTGATTCCATAACCTTTTTGGTTTTCAATTTGCATAAATGGCCGCTGCTGAGGCTGAAGCTTAATGGCTTTTCGACTGCTTTGTTTGGCAGGAATTTAAATTTAATTTCAATTTTCAATTATTACCGACTTTGCCTTTCCGTTATGCTCGGCCACGCCCCCACCCCCACTTTTATTCAATTTACCTCCACAGTTTATGCTTGATGAATTTTTGTGTCGACTATGGACCAGCGGCGCTCCGTTCGGCTCCGGGTTATTTTTTGTTTGGCCTGTTGCCTTGCGGCTAATTTAATTGCATTTTTATTGCATTTTGCGCGCTTCTCGTTAATATTGCGCATATTCAAAAGAAAAGCAGCAAATTTGCTGCGCACTGCATACAAAATTCAATTAGGCCGCATTTGAGGTGCTTTTTTATATACTTTTTACCTTTATTCGATATTGGTTCTATGATTTGAGATGAGATTTGCTGCCCTCACTCGTCAACTATTGAATAATGTGGGGCACTGAGCAGGGGGCAAACATTTCCGCCTCATTTCAATAAGTTTTTGGATTGCGTTCGTTTATTCCCGGCGGCGCTGATTGGCGACATCCGCTTCCATCAGCTAACGGCATTTGAGCGTAGTTTTTATGACGAGGACACGCGTCAACAGCGGCGCAATCATCGTCCGCATTAGAGGCAACATCATTAAGTGCGCAACTTTTCATTACCAACAATTTAATTTTGAAATTCTGTCACTGCGGTCGCTGCATCAGTGCCGCCGGCTCACTTCCGTTCCGCCACTATTGAGCTGTCGTGACACTGGAACTGCATTTGGCGAAAGTGTCCGGGCGCCTGTTGACGGAGTACTCCAATATGCCGCCGGTCCCCCGTCAAGTTTTATGGAAATGAAAGAACACGCGCAAATAAAGAAAGCTCCACTGACGCAGCCCCCAAAGGCGTCATTCAGTTTAAATATCAAGCACTTGCACAACTATCTGAGGACCGAAGCACTTGCCCGCATTAAATTCTGTCCAACTCCATGGGAATAGCGCCTCAACAGCTTATAAATAAATATGATATGTGCTCAATGTCAGTTATCGTGTTACCTCTTGCAGCCAACCGTCTGATGATAGCTTGATAAAGTTGCTATTAAAATGCTCAAAATACTTAAATCTTTTAGGGCAGGATTTTATATCGAAATATATTTAGAAAGCAAAGTTACTTAATTCTGCGACAGTTAAAGAGAAAGGCATGCAGCTTTGCTAGTAGAGATAGACACGGTTTGGCTCTTTAAAATAGGTACAAAATTGTCAAAGTTAGCGGAGATATACGTGTTGCCTGGGGAATATAATAAATACTTCAAAATTTGACTGCAACGATAATAACTAATCTCTTGATTTCCGTTTGTCTGCATACTTTGCTTCAAAGCCATCGCTAAGAGCGAAATTAGACAGCTCTATAAAGTAAACTGAAGTAAATAGTAAAGAAAAAGTAGGAGAGTTACGATGTCATAAGGGCCTTAAGTAAATATATAACATAAATATTCCAGATGCAATAACCTGGGCTGCTTGAGTTAGACTCGCTGTGGGCGACGTTACATTTGGTGGGTGGCCTGGTCGGTTTGAAAGTGCTGAAATAGTTGATGTCGACACTTATCAGGTTGGCTTTGCCACGCCCTGGGGTCAGCCGAAATTCCGGCGGGCGGAGCTGCAAGTTTGACTGCGATGTAGTTTGCAAAAAATACTCAGCGACAGCGACATTGAGGCATGGATAGTCTGCTGCACGCAGCAGTGGCAGGCAGAAAAAAGGCCAAGAAGTTGGGTAGGTGACAGCGAAAAACATGCGACAAGTCATTTAAGCGATTTGCAGCGCCTGAAGTTGGCTAAAAGTAAAAAACAAAAACAAAAACGCGTAGGGTAAAAGCATTTTGTGTGTTATGGCCAACAAATGGAACAACATTTGTCTATGGGCCACCGACCCACATCTAGTGCGGCAGTCACGTGCTCCATTGTGCAACATGTGCAAAACTTTGTCGAAATTACGGCTGTTGTGGCGGCGAGTGCTGTTGCTGTTGCACCTGCCACTGCATGTGCCCCGAGGACTGAAATGCGCTGCATGTCGCCAGAAGCCAGCAACAAAGAGCTGCCGTTGTTGCCCCTGTTGCCGCTGTTGCCGGCTTAGCAATTTGTAGCTGCACACGTAAGCAGTTAGGAGCAACATGGCCCGGCCGGCAGACTGAGTTGGCTGGAGCGCGATTACGATTGTGATTGCGATGGCGATTGCGATTGTGATTACGATTGCCGTCGCTGCTGGGACACGTGTTGCGAGTCTCCTGGCTTGCTCCATCGCATTAAAAACTAACCTGCATCGGCATAATTGCTAGCCAAATGCTGTAAACTGGGCCAGCCAATGCCTAAGTGCATTTCGCATTTCGTGTTTCGTATTTCGTATTTCGTATTTCCAATCGCAGCTGCAATTGATTTGCAGCCGGCAATGCCATGGCCCTCACAATGCAATGCATAGAAAATCAAATGCTGCTCAACAGAAAATTCAATTGAATTCAATTCAACACTCGTTTAAGCAAATTGCATAAATTTTGCAATACTCATCATTCAAATGGGTATACCAGACTGTAGCATAATACTGTTCCAGTACGTGTGCTTGGTGCAGCTGCTGCTCTAAAGTTTAAGTGATACACTCAGAGATAAGGAAGGAACATCAGTGGGAAAGCAGGAGAGCGAGTGTGAGAGTGAGCGGAAGGGATAGAAAGAGTGGGAGAAGTGAAAGTGAGGGAGGTAAAAAGATACCAGCAGAGAGAGATCACTGGGAGAGAGACAAAGATATACGAGGGAGAGAGAGACAGAGAGACGGACAGATATACACTGTGACTGATAGAAAGATATAGACAGATACTTTCTATGAGTAAGAAACTTAAATACTCTCTCTGCAGACACATATTGTTACTGTCAGAGAGAGAGACAGAGAGAGAGAGACATAGAAATGGAGAGAGAGAGAAAGAGAGAGAGAGAGAAAGAGAGAGACTATCTACATACACTGTCTCTGAGAGAAATAGTCAGACGGATACTCTCTTTGAAGAAGAGAGAGACATGCACACACTTCCTCTGAGAGAAGGACACTAAATGATATTTTCCCTGAAGAAGAGAGGGACATACAGACAGCCACTCTTTCTGAAAGAGAGTGAGAGAGTCAGAGAGAATTCATGGGGAGGAGAGAAGCTGCAAAAGAATTGAGCCAAAAATATATAATATAAAATTCTGCTATTCCTGACAGATGAAAGTCGGGAGAAACAGTATGATATCAAGTGGCTGTCAGAGAGAGAGAGAGAGAGAGAGAGAGAGAGAGAGAGAGAGAGAGAGAGAGAGAGAGAGAGAGCGAGAGAGCGAGATAGAATGAAATACTACAAGAAACATACAGTCTGTCTGTACAGGGTATCAAGAGTCAAGCCATTGGCTAGCCAACATTTATTCATTTGTTCCGCACCAAGAGCCATGTTGTATATATATGTATATGTATATAGAGTATTTATGCATGTGAATACACGCTCGTGTGCTTTGGCATTCAAATTCCGTAGGTTGGCAACTTGACTTTGGAGCAGAGTTCTGCAGTCAAAGGTTGAGCAGGCAGCGACAATACAATTGCATTAATGATGTGGAGCGCCCAGAAGCAGGCAACACTTTTGGCAGCTGCAGCTGCATGGCCAAAAAAAACACTGTTTACAGATGGGGAAACACCCACCACCCACCTTCGTTAGTGTAGGTGTAATGCATATGCATTTCTTGTTATTGTTGTTTTTGGAACACACGACAGCTGCTCACCTTCCGGTGGCTGGGCTCAAGTTCTTGACATGGAAATGCAATTCCCTGTACTGTACAACCACATCGAGTTTTATGCATACTTGAATAACAAGTGCCATTGTTTTTACAGCTGTGGTGGCAGCTTAGAACTCGAGTGCGCTGCACGCAGTTGCCCCGCTTGAAATGGCTACACCTAATTAGCACTGAAATTTGTTTGCATTGAAAAAGCCAATGTCAATCAATTGACGCAGCAACTGTCCGCATGCCAGGTGCAATTCATGCAATCGCTACGTCCACTGCGCCAAATTTGTAATTACCTATAACAACAGTTGCCAATCCGACAACTACAACGACAAACAACAACTGCGCGTTGCTGCAACGACAATGCCCAAAATTATGCAATGGCCAACTTTGATTGGCGGCCATTGTTCGTGCTGTGCTGTGACCTACGAGCGCGTCTGCCGCATGGAAATCAAATTTCATGTATTTTAATTAACGCCCCATGCGAAATCCAAAGTTATCAGTTGGCCCCCAGCCTGCAGCTAGCAGCCAGTGGCCAGCTGTCAGTGCAAGTTTTGCTTAAGCGAATCTGATGCTTTTGCCCAGATAATGATTTCGGTTATTATGAGCATCGCTAATTGGGATTTAAACGTAACTAATATGGTCGCTTTCAGTGAACAGGTGAGCATTGCCGAAACACTGCTAATTGCTATCAATTTCATTATTTGGGCTGTTCGCCTTTGCTAATCTATATGGCTGCTATCGAAAATATCACAATAAATCAGAGTCAGAATTGTTCAAATTTAAAAGCTTTGAATATTGAATATTCATTAAACAATTATTTAAACTTTTCTCTCACTCTCATTCGTTATGTATGGAATATCACATGCCTCTATGGACTTCGCTTTATGGTTGCCTTGCTGCAATCTATGCATTGTTATTCCGGCATTAGCATATCGAATGTTGCTGCTGAATTCACTTTTTGGATCCTCATTAATACTGGTTGCTACGGCGGCTGTTTTTTACCCTTTTCATCAAACTGCGTTGCTTTCGGATTTATGCTGCGCAACTGAGTTGAAATTTCGGCAACATTTGCAAATTATTTTTTTTAAATTAAGCTGAAAGAAAAAATAGACTTCTTGCAGAGTTATTTTATTATTGAGTTGAAAATGAAATGAAGTGATTTGGAAACCGTGATGGGCATATCCTCTTGATCTTATTGCGTCGTTTTCTGTGGCTGTTTCTTCTGGTTAGTTTGTTAGGAAGGGAGAACAGTTTGTAGGCATATGTTGTTGTATAGGCAACACTCAGCAGCTCTGAGACCTCTAATACATGTATTTTGTTTGGGTGGCATTCTGTATTCGAATAGCTGCATATTTATAATAACTTAAACAGCTGCCACCAAATAGTTATAGCAAATAGTATCACTCTTGTTGTGTCAAGCTGTATCAGCTTAGATAACTAGTCAAAATGATATTCGTAAAGCCAAGTCATTTAAAGCAAGTATTCTACAATTTTTATTTATTTATTTAATCTATTTATCTATCTCTGTTTTAATTAACTTATAATCAAATCCATTACGGTTCGTTACCTGTACTAGTATTAGTTATACATTGATCCAGCTTCATTTCAAATCGCGCCCTTGAACGACTTAAAACGACTTAAAATATTTGTCGCAGATTTGAGAAATGCGATGTTTCAAGCTAAATTGTTAGAGCTGTGGCAACATTTGTAAACTTCTAGCTGTACATAAGAATATGTATGTATGTATGTATGTATATGTAAGTATGTAAGTGTCTGTGGCCACCCCTTCGCTTAGTGATTCGCATACATATTTATTGCCCTTGTCGTATTTGCTTTAGCATGAGTTTATCTCTCGAACAACCTTTGAGCGTGGCAGACAACATTATTCTGTTTTGGCATTTGTTGTTGCTATAATCTGCTTAATGGAGAACAAGTTTAACAGCAGAGGCCATGTTGCCGGCAGTTAAAAGCTAAATGGTTGGCCATTGGAGCTTAGCTAGCAGTCGATAAGGGAACATCAATCATACGCCCAGTTTGATTTCCGAGCATTATGTGCTCCAACAAGGCTGCATGGAGAGGCTTTGCTGATGCTACGAAACTGTTTAAACCGTTGCAGATTTCAGTCACGTGAAGGCGCTGCGCATTTTAAACTCGGAGCTGGCAGACACTTTGGGCAATTTGTTGTCGCGTGCCTGTGCCAAGTCGCTAAACCCACATCAAATGTATCCGGAGCCGCATGTGGAGCACTTGTCGCAGCTGCTGCAGCACTTGGATGCTGCCAAACGGCTGCAGGAGACGCTCTTCCACCTGGCTGGTAAGTCAGCTTGTTTGTCATTTTAATATTTAAGCAGCCGCTCCGCAGTGGCTGAGTGAAGTTTGTTGCCGGGATGTCGCTGGCAAGCACACTTCCGGGCAATAACTATGCGAGAAGTGCACTTGAGAGTGCGGCCAGCCAGAAAGCAGCGAAGTAATGCCCTCCATTTCCATTTGCATTTACAGGGCGCTGCGAGCAGCACTACGAAGGCAATCACTTCCACTTGGTGGCGGACACGGCCATCGCAGCGTTGCATGCGGCTAACAATTTCTTTGAGTGCGCCAAGCCCTGGGAGCTGAAGGCTGGCGGCAGCTCACCCAATGCACAACGCCTCCAGACAATAATCAGCATGACAATGGACGCGTTGCGGCTTTGCGGCATTGTGCTACAGCCAATGATGCCGCAGCTGACCAGCCGCCTGCTCGATAAGCTAAACGTGCCCATTTCACAGCGCAGCTGGCGCCATTTGAGCGAGAGCTTCGCCACTGCCAGTCCAGGCAACGGGCCTAAGAATCACCAGCTGGATGAGCAGAGCAGTGCACGTCTATTTCAACGAATTGTAGAGCAACCGGATAAACCAACCGAGCAGCGAGCACAGTCTCAGACGCAATCCAAGCGAAGTAAATCCAAGAAAGAGCGCAAGACATCGGCGACCATGTCTTGAGTTAGCCTGGCACGTAGCTGTAATAAACTGTAGCCAAGCTCGAGTAGTTCAACTCGACTCTTAACTCTCCACTGAATATATTCATTTGGTTTCGCAGTGACATTTATGAATTGGGACTCGTGGCGCGCTGCGTATGCTTAATCTAAATAGCCAGCCCAAGTGGCCACAAATCAAACCCAAGCAGCGCGCAACTGAGTCCATTCCATTTACTGGCGACTGGCAAGGCTCCCGCTTGGCCCGACGCTCATTAAAATCCACTTAATTATGCGCCAAGAGCGGAACTCCGTTGTCCGATACAAGAATCTATCTTGTAGTCGCATTCCGGTCTCATATCAGCGGCATATTTTGTTATTTATTGCACATAATTGAGATTCGTTCAGGTGCTCGAGCCTTATTTATGGGCAGTTGGGCCAAGTGATAAAGCAGCTGCGCCGTTAATGATATAAGCTACAGGGGAAATGGTTTCATTTGCAGGTCTGCCAGCTACTTGGCTAGTCGCTGTGCCTATTAATATATTTTAATTTGCAAAAGCTGAGACTGAAACAAAAGACAATTAATAGAAAGTTGAGCCAAACGACTTTCAAATCTGTCAAAGAACAGCTTAACACACAATGGCGTCAGCAGGAGATGGCCTAAACGCACTTTAGTTGAGCTTCAGTAGCTGCTATGACTAGGTAATAGCGCAACACGGCAACTGGCCAATGCTGCCATTTGAACAATAAACAAACGTTACGTATACGCCTAGTGTTACGCACCTGAATAACTGCAACTTGAGAGTGTTGGGTGTAAACGTTTCATGTACCTCTTGCAACAAAGTTCCTGCAAACAATAATGCGAGTCGATGCCGCTGCCTGCCAATAGTCCCTGCAGCCAAGCTGGCCATACGCTCAGTCTGCCAATTAATAAGCCTAACGCGTCGCACAATTTGCGGCAAGCTCACGGCTGCTGTGCCAGCTAGCCGCCGCGTGTATGTAGAATGCCAACAGCTGAAGGGCTCTTGCAACTTTCAGGTTTGTTTGCATCCAGGCGCTGGCAACAACATGAAGTGAGTCTAATTAGCGAGATAGACACAGGCCCACAACACACACAGGCGCAGAGTAGCGCATGTGTTTTACATGCCTTAAATTCAGGAGATATTTTAGATTAAAACAAAAACAAAACAGATTTCGTGGAAAGAGCCGAAATGAAGTCTCATTTGTGGTGCCCGTTGTAAAGGTAGGAAGAAGAGGGAGCTTTGGCCTATATACAAAAAATGATGTAAGTGGATGACTAACTTTTCATAGAGTATTCAATATTTCTCCTCTGCATTCTTCGCTCTTATGCACAGAGCAGAAGAGCAGCTCAGCTCAGAGCAACTTAAGACTCTGTGATGGGTCTTCCGCCAACTTTCAAGCGCTTTTGTGTTTCAATGAAGTGGAATGTGTGCAAGGTCAGTTGTTTGGCATCGGCTAGCAATAGGTGCTATGCCTATAAAGCTTGTCTCATGCAGGATGTCCTGCCATGAGCTATGCGTAACTGCTCTGCATGGCATGTGTAATGCCTGGCATCTTGAGTATTTCACATAAGTTGCGCCATTCTGCAGCTCGGCGCCTCCTGTGAATAAATATGCGCTGTATGTGTAAGGGCGTTATATATAAAATTATAATATTCCAGTTATTTTTGAAGCAGATGTCGGCTGCGAGAGGCGTCAGAGCGGTCAGAAAATGCCAAAGGCGTATGATAGAATACGGAAGCGCGACTAGTTTAAACTGATTGCGAGAGCAACAACAACATGCTTGACTTGTTGGCTTTGCATAATAAATTTAATTATGACAACAGCCGGCAGCCTGGATGCTGTGGCAGTGGATGACGGATGAAGTGGCAGCAGACGGGCAGCGCTAGCCGCAGGACACCGAGCACTGGTGGTTGCTGCAGTAGGTAATGCGTTTAACGAGTGCTCAGGCTTAATGCTGCTTAATCTTGAGCAGAAGCGTTAACGGTTTATTGTTGTCGATTCACTTTGATTAATTGGATATGTATGCGTGGATGTTGCTATCGCTTCCATTACCTTTGAGTGTGGTGCATAATTTAATTGCGTGCAGGTCTTACACGGCGTATACGCGATACTACGAATTAATTGAGATGGGCAGGTATAATGTGCTTCGGGCTTGAGTCGCACTACAATCGCTGATTGAGTTGAGCTACAGTACGAGATCAAAGCACAAATTGATTTCGTTTCCGTCTGCTCCTTAAGGATGCTGGCAAATGGCAACGGTATCCTTGAGCTTTTGTGCGCTGCATTCGCTTGCAAATGCCAAAAAATACACGTGCATCACTTGAATGGAGTGCACACAGACAACTTATGGAGTAGCAGCGGAACGAGCTGCTGATGCAAAATCAGAAACGGCAGCAGCAGCAAATGGGAGACGCCGCTTGACTTATAGAGCGTTGATTGCTTTGAGTTAAGTTGTCCGTTCGTTGCCTTCTTTAATATTCAAAAGTACATTTTTGCGCTCTGATTAAAAATCGTAGAGCTTCTCTAGCACTTTAATTTCAGCTCAACTGTCAGAGATTAAAGTAACATTGTTGTTGTTTTTGTTGTGGTATTCTCTTGCTGCTGCTGTTGTTGCTGCATTTGCTGTGCCGTGGTATTCGTGGTGCTTCTGCTGCTTTGCTTAGTCAGCAGCATTCTGGGGCCTGCTCTGACTGCAGTTTTGAGGGAGTGATGCGGCAAGTTGAGCAGCTGCATGGGCTGCATGTGGCAAGTCATGACTAAAGTGTGCCTCAAGCACATCCGTTATGAAGTGAGCTTAATTTCATGAATGATTTCTTATAGAAGCCAGCGAAAATAATCTTTAAAATATGAAACAAATGGAAAGCAGGGCATACATTATTTCAACTGTATTAACAGTCAGGCATCTGTGAAATGAACATTAGTAGTATAGAAAGTTAACTGAGTCGAATGTGCATCGTATTCAAAAGTTTCCACAATATGTTCTGCAGCCATGCTTTGAATGAAATTTGAATGTAGTTTTACCTTAAAATTTGTATAGCTTCAACTGTTTGACTTAGGTGATGTGCACTGTACGAGCTATGCTCAAACTTTTTAACTATTTGTTTGCTGCATTTTTATTAAATTTTAATTTAAAGAGAGCTTTTTAAGCTCATTTCTTTTGGAATACTTAAGATTTGAATTTGAATTATTTTAGTTAAATTCGTTTAGAAATACGAGTATATATTGTGTTATATATGAAGGCATTTAGTTAAGATAAATGAAAATATAAAGCTGATATTCAAAGCAATATTAAATTGCAAATGTTTATATGAAAAGTGTAAATATTTTAAATTGCATAGATGCGAAATTACTGCTGCATGATATATTTAAAATATATATATAAATATAAATATACGCAACAATTATAAATTTATATATTCGTTTTATTTTTCACACAAGTCATTAGCAAAACTCGAGCTATCGATTACACTTATAATTTCAGTGCAAATATAGCAAAAATGCTATCAGAGGATATGCAGTTAAATTGTAACAAAATGTGCAAGGGTTAGCGAGTCAATGCCATGTAATTTAATAAAAAAACCCATTAAATATGTAAATAAAATAAAGCATATTTGACTTTTAATTAGAAAAGCTCTTTAATTAGCGCAGCATTTTGTGTGGACAATGCGGCCAGAGCAGTAACAAATTCCAAAACATGGACAATTTCAAGTGTGCAGGAATGTCAGGATAAGCCTTTTTTGTGAACTATGTTAGCCAGTTGGATATTCAGCTGAATGGCACTTAACCGCTTGGTTGGCCTACTTAAAGCCGAATCGTCCACTGTCTAACTGTTTTGCCGCTTCACATAATTTGTAATTAAATTTCGCTCAAAAATGCTACCAAAATCCTTAATCCGTTAGCATAGATACAGACACACACACACACGCACACACACATACTACGAGCGCTGCAAACTATGTGAGTCATTATCCCTTTTAATGAATTTTTTCTGCTTGTCCGGCTTTTGGTTTTCATTTTATAGTGGGTAACAGTGGCAGCCGCACGTTGCCTTTGCCGTTGCCGTTGCCTTTGCCTTTGCCTATGCCCCGCTCTCCGCCTGGTTGTGGCCCACTTGTCGTTGCAGCCGTTGCCAAAGTAAATATTTTACTATGCCACTATTTGAAGCATACTTTCAGGCTGTCGGCGCAGCTGGAGAGTCGACAGCAGCGGCAGCAACAACAACAACAACAATACCAACACTGCGGAAGCAACAGACTGGTAGCCATTTTATTTTATAATATTTTTTTCAGGTCACAATGTCGTAGAACTTTTATTAACCTCACGCCGAAAGGGTGTCTGTTTGCGTGTGCTGCTCGAGTATTGGTGTTTGGTCTGGTTACTCCAAACACTAAACGCAGCTAAGTGTTGGCTCTCGTCGGATGTGGTATCGGGTCAGTAATAGGTGCTATTGCTTGCTTGTGCAATTAATTACACTTTTTACGACTTTAAATATGTCCATATGGATTTTATGTTTTTCAAATAATCTTATATTATATATTTTTTTCTATTAGTCAAGAGCATACTCTTGCTGATAAACTAAGGTGAATCAATTTGCAGCATTTTGCATTTTGCAGTTGGAGTTTGTTCTGTTTGATTGTTTGCCAGCTGGCGTGGATGACAATGCAATAAATATGAGCAGGGAAAACAGCAGGGAAACAGCAAAGAGAGCAGCAAAAATGCTATGCAAAATTGTAATATAAAGCGTGGGCAAACAACAGCTTGAGCTCAAGACGCGCAGGACGACAAGGACAAAGGCGCCGACAGTCGACAAATGAGCGCAAGAAAATTAATTTCAACTGCAGTATTCTCTCTCCAGCTTTGAGTGTATGTGTGTGTAGATGTCTAGCTGTAGAACTGTGCTGCGTGTTTGTGCGATGTCAAGGTTTGTCTGCAACAATTACTTTCATTAAACCAAATATTTGCATCAAAGCTCATCATATATATTCCGCCAGGGCTTGAGCAAATATCCTTATCTATATGTATAGAATCAATTTGTTCATTGATTAACTGATTTATATATACAGAATTGTATTATATATACAAAAAATAA